ACTCTAATGATATCTAATTATAGAGAAAGTCTATATTTGATGCAAAATAGAAAAATCTCTCAACTATCCAACGTCTAACCCAGGCACTTTGTATGTTAAAATGCCTGTCAATGGATTTATATAGGAGGCAATTAGATATTCCATTACCCCGCAGGCTTTTTTGCGCTGGCATGTATTTTATATGTGACTTTTATTAGAGTTTGTCACGACCATTCCGTATCTATAGCCGTTTTATTTTTATAATGCCCGTGACATATGAGTTATGTAGTGATGATTGCAGCTAACAGGCATGAAAGGGAATTTTTAAATTTTTAAAATTCGCTCTTCTAGCAGAGAGCTCGAACGATTTTCATTACGATAATTTCGGTAGGTAATTTATTTGCATTTTCTGAATGATGATAAAGGAGTGATAAAGGAGAAATGCATCATCATTATGAAGAATAAAAAGTTGTAGGAACGTAATAAAAATATAATCAATTCAAGTCAACTAATTTACGTTATAATAAGTATAGGTAATAAGTTTTTTAAAATACAATCCAATTTTTATAAATAGGTAATAACAACGTCCAGTCTCAGCAGAATACCCCATCTTGACTTATTAATAATCCACTCGTTCGGCCATTATTATCATATGAATAACAAATGAGGACGGGTGAAAAGATTTTTTTTCAAATGTACCAGCCGGGCTCTCGTAACCGAGGCAGCCTTTTCATTATCTATTGATGGGAATATGATTGTAATTGAAGCGAACAATTTATTTTGTTGAAAAATAAAGAACACACGGCCGGAGCTTTTTCTGCGGGACCGGCGTTGCGTGTCCCGTCCGAGCATGAATAAGTGAAATGGCGGTAAAATAGTTTCACTTTGCTGCATTATTGATGGTCAGAGTTGGGGCCGTTTTTGAACGATGTTACAGGGAATTTTTGATTAACGATTCGGGGGATTAGTGGGGGTTAAACGCGGTGCACGAAAACATGTCCGAAATCGAGTGTGCGGTTGATATTTCAAAGATATCTTTATATTTATTCGCAATAAACAACCAGAAATATTCACAATAATGTTCAGAAAATTGTTCGATTTTTAAGATTTCAAATTGTTTGCCAGAGCGATTAAAATACTTAAGTATTCCTTCTGTTATCATATTAGAACTACTAGTTACTGTTACTAATACTTCAGACCTATACTTTGTGATTTTTACCTACTAAAATAAACTGCTCCACAAAAGTTAAGGAAGTTCGCAAATTTTGCGATTATTTTAAAACTTACAGAGACTTTTTGATCGCGAAATTTTCAAATATGCGAAATTAAATGTTTTCTCTCATATCTGAGTGAATTTTTTGTCCCTACCTCTACAATTCATACTAGATTTGGCGATTAAAAAACCTGCAACTTTAAATTTATTCTCAATATTTGTGAACTTTCTTAACTTTTGTGGAGCAGTTTATTAAAGTAACTCCGTGATTTTCTTATGCAAAAAATGGGTTATTGTTACACAGCCGTTGACTGAATTAACTGTTTCACGTAGTTAAGATAATTCGAACCAATTACGCCATTATACCTAATGACCTGCACATGTAGAAGGGGTTGAAGCAAATGATGCAGTAGAAACCGAACATGATTGGTTAGTTTATATTAAAAAAAATGACCTCCAAACTTCGTACCTCAATCACGAAGGTGATATAAACATAAATGTGCATGAATACAATATTGTGAAAATGTCATTCAATATGCAGATGTAGAAGTAAAATTGTTTGCAATATAGACTGTGGGTGTAACAAATTGCACTTATCCCTAATAAATAATAGGTAAAATCAAAAGTATTTTGTATGCATGAGATGAACTTTATTTCAACCAATATTTGATATGAATCGGTCAAAGGAAAAAAACAAAATTTTATCGCGATAATATCACTTACAATTTACTAAACTTTAGCCGCGGATTTCGTTCGCGCTATCTCGATAAAAATATTAATAAATCCATTATACGGCATCGAATCGAAGATATCGATCTCCATGGAGTATAAAACAATAATTCTTCTGTCAATGAAATCATGAATATTCCAAACTAATAAATGCGTTTACACAGCAACTACAAATCACTTGTAATTGAAGGGAAGCCGTTATTATACACGAGTAGATTTTTTTGGCTATTTCTACCCCCTACAGTATAGTTATAAATGTAATGTCTACCTCGCAAAATATATCTAGAGTACCTATTATATCTACAGTAAGAAGAAATGACGAAATGATTGGTATACTTTCCAGAGCCTGGTATGTGTAAAAGATAAGAAATCATCACATATCTCTAGAGTAGAATAAAAACCAAGCGCATATTGGAAAAAAACCACTAGACTGCAGTCACGACAAGCGGAGCTGCATAATCACGCCTCATCCAACATTTGAAGAAACTCGAGGAAAGATAATGGAAGCGTGTAAACGTTCCCAGTAACTTTTTTTTCCATTTCGTACCTTAAATATTGTAATTTCTAATATGTAATTATACGGCGAGGAATAATTCTCGTATTATACATGCTACTGTGCGCGATAGCGACTCCGGCTGAATATTTCATGCGGCCAAGTTGGCAATATGTAAATGCATGGGCTGGTCAACTGTGCGTTGCCCCCGGTCGAACGCCAATACACAATGAATGGGGTTTCTTGTTCTAAAATATTACGTAGCCTACGGTTGTTATTTACATATTATCGTCGACGGAATTTTTCGTTTATTGTTTTTTTTTTCTTTTAGATAAAAGAATTAATTTATGGAATGTGCTGGGCTTCCAAAGTGCTTGTGCTTCGAACAAAGTCTTTTTGGTTTTTGTAATTATTTGATTCACTGTATAATACTTCATTCATCTTTAGTTTTTAGTGTATTAGGTCAAAATTTAATGAGTATTTCACTGAACAATTCCTTTACAATTTTATTTTTACTTCCTATATACATTTTAATTAAATTAAGCACTATACTGTGCTATCATTTTTCATCTACCATAAAATATCTTGAATGTTTTCTAAAATTAACAACGAACATATTCCCATATATGCATAATCTCGACGTATTATAACTCATTTTAATACAAAAGAGATTTTTCAGATAGAAAATTCGTACAATTCCTAAGTTAAATAAAGGCGAATTATGATGAACAAGCGCACACGAAAGTGTATAGGCAATAAATAAGCGAATTATAATGATTAAAATTAAAAACTAAATGGGCAATTCGCTCCGGTACATAAAACATCCTCATTGCTTTTCTTCCTAATTGCATGACCGTGCTGGATAAAAAGAAGATAAACGACCTGATGAAAAGCGCAGTGTGGAAAACAGAATGGGAAATTTTAATGAATGAGTGCACGATATGCGTAAAGGCTGAATTTTAACGAAACGATTTGATTCTATTAGAGATTGTGTTTCATTCAAAAGAGGAAAATCATGTAAAATTGTTATGCAAATCTTTCTACTGAATTCTAAGTGCTGCTTATACTATGCACCAATGATCTTTTAGGTACCTTATACTTTATCTATATACATTCATATATTACACATTTTAGATTTTCTTAAATTCCTGTGGTTTAAAGATTTTTTTCTCATTCTACTATCAATAGTTTGATTTGGATTAAAACATTCTTAATAGTATATTAGGTACAATTTCTCGTGAGTGTATCTGTTTAGCTGATTGATTAGGTGATTGATTAGCTGATTTATTATTAGTTTCTTTAAGTTCTCTTTAGATATAGCAAAACTAAATATTTATCAACCCTTTTAAGACCTAATTACCTAATTGTAGGGAAGGTGGGATAAAGCAAGTAACAGTTAAAATGATGAAAAACCTGTTATAAAGTTAATTGTCTGGTATTAGTTAAAACGTTATTATTATCTAACTTATTGTGAAATAATTTTACCGAAAATTACCACAACAGGTATTGAACGCTTACTTGAAAGTCATTATGCTTATTAAAGGATTTTACTCGGTTATTCTTAATTTTTTTTTATTTTTGGAAGGTGCAATTTTGAAAGCAAGTATTTTATGTAATAAAAAATTGAGGTATTGTCATAGCTTCACTTTAAATACTTCCTGCAGACCTCCTGCTGGTAAGAAATTACCTGACCGACGGCATTAAAATAACCGGATTTTACAATTTACAATTGATGAGTTCTCTGGCCTTTCAATAGTTGGTTTATAAGCTGCATTATAAATGTTTATAAATGTGTAGAAATAGAGGTAATTAAAAAAATAAAATATCTTTTTCATACTGTATACAGTTTTATAGCTCTATAGCTATAGCTTTGTAGTATTCCAACTGAAAATAAAAACCAAAAATATGTGGCGTACGACATCTAGGAGTATAATCTGAAAGTTTGAACTGGGATTTCCCCTAAAGCTGACATCTTTTAGATACCTTCAAAAGTATCAATTTGTTAATATTTCCGTAGGTGTCACGTTTTTGCACAATTCTTTCAAGTTCTTTCACAAAATTTTCTCTCTACTTTTATACACAAAATTTTCTCTCTACTTTTATGCCCAACATTTTCTCTCCACTTTTATGCAAAAAGGTTCTCTCTACCTTTATGCACATAATTTCTCTCTACTTTTATACACAAAATTTTTTCTCCACTTTTATGCCAAAATTTTCTCTCTACTTTTATATACAGTTTCCCTCTACATTTATACACAACATTTTCTCTCTACTTTCATGACATTTTGACATTTTCCCTTTACTTTCATGAACATTTCCTCTCTATCATCATAGATAAATTATAAAGATAGCCTGGATAGGTTAAGGCAAAGATTCATTTTTTTATTACTATGAGGACAATAAACAATAAGTAGAACATAAGAGAAATATCATGAATTGAAGGCAATATTAGATGAATAAATTTTTAATGAATCCAATGTTTAACATTTATATCGTAATGACATTTTCTCTATTTACTCGATTTAATTTTAAATTAATTCGAAATTTTGCGTCGCAAAAGGCTCATTTTTGTTCGGTTTTGCCGGATTATTCGGTTTGTTCCGGTATTGCTTCCAAATGCTTATCTTCAGCAGCGGTTTCGGCTGCAGGTTTTTCTTCTTTCGAAATTCTCAACTGCGATGATTTACTTCCTATAAATCCAGATAATTAACATATTAATTTTTTTCGTTTCTATGTCATAAAGAAATGATCTTATTAGGTACCTCCTCTCTTTTTGCTGCTAATAGAAAGTTTGGAAGACTTGGTTTTTTTCGAAGAAATCGACGATCTACTTGCGAATTTCAGTACGCTAGTCGTTTTTACTTCAGGTTTTGGGAAAATTCTGAAATAATCAGCGTACATCTCCTCCACCTGGAGTTTGTAATCCTTCGTGTAAATATCGTAGAAGTGTCTAATTAGATCTGGATCCTTCACAAGAGCTGCGTATTTGTGTTTTAACATAAGTTGTTCGAATTCTCCGATCTTCATCGGCATTTTAGGAGCTATCTCAAGCAAATCCCTAAAGGAATATTCATTAAATTTTTAAGCAAAAACAAGATAATAAAGTGATTTTACCCAAAGTCCTGTCTATCTGCTGGCTTCTTCGGGGCTGCAAATATCGCTTTAATCCTCATCCATATCAACCAAACCCATTCAGGTCCTTTAATTTCCCAGTTTTGATAAATTCCGCCAATTATAAGAGTCCTTCCCATTAATTTAGCTTTCATTTGGATCTAAATGTAACAACCGTTCATGAATTAATTTTCTCAATATTACCATTTTTTTCTCTAAACATAAATGATAAATGTTTAAAGAAGATGTTTTGTAGCTTGCATTTGGAACAAAACTATTAATTTAGGAATTGTGGCTGTATTGCTAAAGAGGCGAGTACGCCCCTGTTTTCTTCTCCAAATACAAACCCTACAATTTTTAGTTCTATGGATATGTGTCGTTGTCAACTGCCATTTGTCACGTCAAACTTGTCATTTTTGTAAAACCTAACCTCACAAAAAAGTATCAACAAGACCAGTAAAATAAAACCGAACTTTACACCGAATGTAAACGAAAATTTGTTTTCTAGGTACGAAATTTAACTTTGATTAGTTGATTTTACTCAATTAATTTTCATTTCTAGCCACTGAACCGATATTCGAGCGGTCTTATCGCCAAAATGTCCGATTTCTCCGAACTTCTCCAGGAAGCCGAGAAGCTCTCCAACGATTTGGAAGGTACCACCGAGCTGCCCAAAGTAGAGCGCTCTTTGCACCAAGTACTAGAGGCCGCGAATGATTTGTACACCAGAGTGGCCCAAACGGGGGCCCAAGACATCCAAGCCAATCTACTCTTAGGTTCCAAAGGGATAGATTTGCCGAAAATCGCCCAAAAACTCGAATCCTTGAGTACCAAACGAACCTTCGAACCCATCCAACCCGTAGAAGATTTAGACATTGCGAACATTTTGGAGAACGAGATAAGAAATAAGATACTCGGCGTGTTCGATTCGGGCTACAACAAAATGCTGGCTTATACTTACGACATGTCTTGGGAGCACCAGCAATCCGAGTGGAAGCAGGAGAAGAGAAAAATATTGAGCGCAATGAGCACCAGTTCCGGCGCCGCCATCGAAGTAGGCAAACACCTGACCATAACCTTCGACAAACCCACATTTTCATCAGGCAACCTGGGCCCCAGCGAAACCATTTACATCGAGAAAATCACCGATTACAACAAAACCGTTTGCAAAGGCACGCAAAAACCGAATTTAGTGAACGTTTTCACAACCATCGCCAGCGAATTCAAAGACGCCAAAGTCTCCGATATGTGGGAAATCATCAAATACATGTCTCAACTACCACCGTTCCCCCAATCGGACGATCCCATCAAAACCAGGAACAGCGAACAGTGCATCGAAGCGCTCGTAAAACAAGCCAAGAACTATCTACAGAATCGATACAAAACCTACATGAATAACATCGTCAACGAAGACCTCGCCAACGCCCTGCGCGGCGGCGTCCCGGGCACCTACCACTTGGTGCGCAGCTTCGTGGGGCTCCGGCTGCAAGGCGAGTACTTGGGCCTGCAGGACGGCACGATCGAAGACCGGCCTCTGTGGCCGATGGTCTATTACTGCTTGAGATCCGGCGACTTATCCGTCGCGATATACTGCTTGAAAAAGAGCGGTTTGCCGGAATTCCAAGACATCGTCTCCTTACTAGAAGCCAAATTGAACGGCACCACCGGTAGCGAATTAACCCGCTTGGAAGAGGCCATTAAATTTTCTTACAGAAGAGTCATACGGAACGATACCGATCCTTTCAAACGCATCGTTTGGTGCATTTTAGGTAAACAATCAATTCTTAGGTAATTTATAAACTAATTTTACCTATTTCAGGTTGTTGTGATGTAACCGATGAACATTCCGAAGTAGCTAGAACAGCCGATGACTACCTTTGGTTAAAGCTGAGCTTAGTGAGAGAGAACGCTTCGAAGGACAACTGCATTCGTTACAAGGACTTGCAAAGGACCATATTAGAAGAATACGGTGAAACGCATTACAACGCGTCCAGCCAGCCTCACTTGTACTTCCAAATGTTGGCTCTAACCGGGCAATTCGAGGCGGCCTTCGAGTTCCTCTCGCGAGTGGAGAAATTCAAAGTGCACGGGTTCCACATGGCGCTCGCCCTCAACGAGCTCTACATGCTGGGCGCTCCGAGCGACACGGGCTGCCCGTTGCTCAGCACCGATCCCATGGACGAGAAGCCCTCGTGCCGGCTGAATTTGGCTCGATTCGTGATGATCTACGTGAAGAAGTTCGAATTGACCTGTCCCAACGAGGCGTTGCAGTACTTCTACTTTCTGCGGAACTGCAGCGATTCGAACGGAGAGAACATGTTCAAAACGTGCACGGCGTATTTGGCGATGGAGACCAAGCAGTACGAGCTGATTTTGGGCAGGGTCCAGCAGAACGGGATCAGGACCAAAGGTTTAATCGATCAATTCGCCGATGCGAACGTCACGGCGGAGAGCGTGGCGCAGTCAATAGGCGAAAATCTGGTGAAGAAAGGCCTGTTCGAAGAGGCCATCGATTTGTTCGATGTGGCCGACAACCAAGCGGAAGTGCTGAAGCTGATATGCAGCCTTCTATCGAGGACGGTTCATTTGGAAAACGAGCCCGATTCGCTGCGATTTAAGGTGCAACAAAAGGCCAATCACTACGCCAACAGGTACTTGCGAGAAGGCTACAAAACCTCCACGCATCTGGTGAACTCGTTTCTGAAACTCAAAGACTTGCTGGGCTTCTTCGATCAGTACCACGGCAAGAACTACAACCAGGCCTTGCGGACGCTCGGCGACGTCGAGCTGGTGCCGCTGAGGCCCGACGACGTCGACGAGAGGGTGAAGAATTTCAAAAACTTGCACCCGGACGTGTGCCGGGTGATTCCCGACGTGCTGCTGGCTTCGATGAACATGCTGTTCGCGCAGTACCAGAAGATCAAAGGCAACAACGAGTATCTGCCGCGGTTTAAGGAAGAGGGTACCGCTACGCAACTGGCGCACCTGCGAGAACAGGCCAAATGTTTGACCAATTTCACCGGCATGTTGCCGTACCGGATGCCCGGCGACACCAACAGCAGATTAGTCCAAATGGAAATTTTGATGCATTAATGATTTTTTTTTAATAAATATTAAACTTACCGGTTTTATTTTCTTGGTGAACCATATATTGTCCATGTCGAGTACCTCTAGCGTTTTACTGAGTCTTATTACTTGCGCCAGAGGCAGCGCGTCCACCGGCAACCACGGGTTATCGCCGATTTTCAGTATCTTCAGCGATTTGTTGATTATCAACGCTTTCCTTAGAGGTCTGATGAATTTCTCCACGGGGATTCTAAAAGAAATGATTCGAGTATTTCTCATTTCACTAGACGCTCTGTGGGAGTACCTATTTCTGCTGAAATCCAGCTCTATCAAGGTCACTGTCGCTTGAAGATACGCAGTGAAAACGGCGAAAATCGCAGGATCTGTGCAACATCCGTTGTCCGAGAGGTTCAGAATTTCCAAACGATCCGATTCCGCTAGACCATTAAACAGTACATCGAATCCTACAATGTTTCAAGCCTTATAAACTGCCTGACATTTCAGTTTGGAAGCTAAATTTTACCAAAAAGAGGAACCTGATGATCATATCGACGTATGGAAGTTAAAGCATCCAACGATATTAAGAAAAAATACGAACGATTTGATGAAGTAGATACCTTCATCGGATCCGAGCCTGTTGAAAGCCAAGTTCAAATTGATCAAGGTCCCGCAACCCAGCAATATCCGCTCCAGCGCTGGGGCGCACTCCGGCGTGAGGTTATTATTGGAGAGATTAAGACATTGCAATTCGACCATCTTGGCGATGGGCCTGAGTTTCTTCCCTCCGTCGACGCCGAGCCCATTGCAGCTCAAATCTAGCGTTGTGACGAATTTCGCGCCGGCCACGCCGGCCATCAAAGCGGTGATTCCTGCAAAAACCGAGCGAATTCATCGATGGTTATTCGCGCGTTTCGAACTGGTTACCGGCAGGACCGAGCTGGCATTGCCTCAGGTTAACGTCGGTTATCACTTTGTTTTCGTTGAGACTGTTTACGAGGATCTCAATCATTTGCGGGGTGAGAAAATTCCCTTCCAATATGAGAAATTCGACGTAGAGGTTGGTCTTCAAAGCTTCGCAAAGGCATCGCAAGTGGCTCTTCCTCAGCCCATAGTACTAATAATACGTTATTGTTGTTTGTAAAAAATTGGGTAATTAGTAGTGCTCACTTTTAAATTCATGATAGGAGTAATGAATGATCGTAACACCCTTCTCAATGGCACCACCGAGTATATCCTGCAGTATTCCAAGTAGATGTCCACTCCTTCGTCGTCTCTTTTCACTTCAGGTTCTGGTAAACGATCGAAATTAGCGAAGTATACGCGGATGGTAAATGCAGTGTATACCTTGACTGAATAATATTTCATCCAAACCGGGATCTTCTATTTGGGGAAAATTGTACTCGACGCTGCGCAAAAACGAACTGCTTGATATGGTGATTTGAGCCAAGCACTTGAACGACGCGGTCTTTCGAACGGCAAGATCTTCGGGCTGGCATTCCGAAAAATCTTCTTCTTCCTCCACTTCCTCCTCGAACGGATCGATCGCCTCTCCGGCCTTCAGGGCCTCGGCCTCGCGCTTTTTGTATTCGTCGAGCCGTTTCTCTTTCACTAAACCATCGAATTTCGAATGTATACAGAAGGGCCTTCGTTGTGTACTTACGTATATCTTTGAGTTCGAGCGGAAGCTTGGGAGCTTTCGGCGGCCCGCGGACTTTAATCACCACCGGAGGCGGAGGAGGGAATATTTTATACGGCATTTTAGCTTGGTTTTGTCCCGAAAAATGTTTACCCGAAACGGAAATTTACTGGAATAAATCACTTTGACATTTTATATTGTCGATTTAATCGTATTATCATACATATTATCTACTAGTAGATTTTTTGGTGGTCATTTTAATCTCTTTATCAAACCTACGAGTAGATAAAAGATCAATTGCACATCCTCCTGTAACAATAAAGTGCAATTTATTCGAGCTGTTGAATAAAACCGGAGCCGATAATAGACTCAATGCCGAACGGAAGGGACCGGTCGATATTGAATCGATTCGCCATCGATCCGCAGGTGTATTAATCGAATAACACAATAGTTATGTAAGGAAAAGCATCCTGAACCTGACCGGCATACGCGATATTTCGCAAGTGCCTGCGCAAATACTTTATAGAGGATATGTAAGTTCGTTTAACCTCTTCGCTCGGACGATGAATCACCTGCTCTTTACAGCACAATAGACTTTGCATGAATTTGAATATAGTGGGAAGAGACTATTTTACTAGAAACGTGCAAATTTAACGTGTTATAAGAGCTAAAGTTTGTTAGTGTAAAGTTAACAAACCAATTAGTTCTAGAGCTAATTGCTTCCCAAGTACTCCAAATTATTGATGCAATAAAAACTGAAAATGTATTTTTATAGCACAAATAATTTCGTATTCTACTGTAATTATTAAGTACAAAAACATGAAATGAACTATTTCTAATTGAACAATACTAAAACGTGATGAATCCACGAAATTCTCAAATACAAAGCTGCTCGTAGGCGAGAATTATCGGCGCTTTATTTTTAAGAGCGCTTGTCGAAGTTACAGCCATGTGTTCTTGTTATTTATACCCGTAATTGCAATTAAGATTAGGTGTGCATGTTTAAATTTCAATAGCATATAATTGGCTGGAGCTGGTGAAAAATGTTGTGACTCAAAAAGAACTAGAACGGCTAATTAAAGCCTACTCGAATTTAAAACTAGGTTGCAACGAAAAATTCATCGAATTCGTTAGTCAATTACATTGGGATACAATTATTACATAGAAATTAATATGGATATAACAGTGAGGAAACAAATTTTTATTAAACAAAGCTCAAAATAGCTCAAATATTACTAATTTTCAAAAATATCCAGTGCCATAAAATTATAAATCCGATAGATCCAAACAGTAAACTAATTAAAATTGAATCCAATTACCAAGTGTTAATGACATTTGGGTAAACAGAATTTCGATTAGCGGCGAAAGCAATAACTGGCCCTTTTTTTCTATTTTTACGCTAAAACCGCGCAATTAGAAGCAACGCGAGAGGAAGTAGCCACTTCGCGCAGTCGGATAGAAAATTTCTTTCCACGTACTTTGCCATCGATTGGCGGCGATTCCGAAATAGTGCGTCGCGCTTATTCGACGAACGTGGTGTTTTCGCCCTTGTGTAGCGCTGTTTTTCACAAAATTGCCATGTTCAAGTAGTGTTAAGCGAGGTGCAAAGGGTGGCAGTTTTCGGGGAAAATAAAAATAACAAAGGTTGGTGTTATTATTTTATTGTAGTGTAGTGTAGTCGTTTTGAAGTTCGAAAATTTTGCATAAATTCAAATTACCAGGTGGCGCGGCGTAACTAATTAATAATGCAAATTCAAATGATAATACTTGGAATTTTTAACTACATGAGTATTGAGTTATTTTTTCATAATAAACAATCTATTATTTTTTGAGTTGTAATTTTGAAGGGTTTCAGAACGACTTGACATTGTCATTTTACCGTTTGAATATTTTACCAATTCGCTAATTTAAAATGTTTTTTGTTTCAGGATATTTTTCTTTGACAAACCATCATGAAAAATGGTTATAGTCAAAGCCCTAGTCATTTACTTATTGATAAAATGCGGTGCGCCTTCGCCAGCCATAGAGAAAGATGCTCCTTTAAAATACGAAGAGTATATCGTGGAACATGAGATCTCCAGCATGTCGGCCAGAAATTCGGTTTTAACCATGGATATTAGCTCGAGTAAGTTTTAATTTACCTTTAAAAACCTCTTGCTTAACACAGGAAATTAAAGCATTAAATACCCATTTATATGAAATTTAAAAATTTTCCTCTAGCACCTACTTATACATGCATTTAGCACTCGAATCCAAATAATTATTGACTCACTTGTATAAGTGAATCATTATGTTTAATAAATTACCAATTACTATTTGCAAAATGGGCACCAGAAATTCGTTATCGTAAATTCTGTTTACGATTATTCAAAGTCTGCAATTATTGATAACTTTATTTTCTATCTAATAGTATTGCAAAACAGATGCCTGAAATTAATATGGGCAATGGGTATTGTAATAAGTATTTTGAACCTCAAATTTATTAACAGAAGTAGATAAAATTCATTACTGATATTTTAAAATGAGTAATTTTAACTGCAAAATTCGTTTTATTCCAGCAAAATGTACTTCAAACAAAAACCAGTAATAAATTCACCCTCAAAATTAATTCGAAGGGTCAACAAATGATATTAGGAACCTTTGCGTGCATGGTATTTAACCCTCGTGCTCTCCTTGAAAAATAATGTACAAATGTATTTATTATTCAGAATAATTCCGGAATATAAATTAACTGTTACAGATAAGTTAGGCACGAAATAGATCGTGATAATATTCTATAAAATTATTTCCTCAATAGGGGTACTCACGAATTTTATTTTAGTACAAATTTCAACCATATTTTTGATAAAAAAAATTATTGCAGTAAACACACCATCCGGATGTAAAGAATGCAACCCGGAGGAGCAGCGGTACTGCCTCGGTACTGATCTAATTAACGATCATTGCTGCTGCGATAAAAGATACCATGGTGAGTGCATTAATAAAAACATATCAAAACCTAGGTCTGCATAATTAAATACCTGTTAGTTTTACAACGAAATTAATAGTAGCTGCATAACAATTTTATAAACCTATTTATGACGTTTGACACTCTAAATATAGGCGTGTAAGTACCACTGTAATTATCATACAATGGAATTAACGTTTGCAGTATGTGAGCTCGGTATTAATAAGCCGATCTAGCACTTGATTAACCTTAATTAAAGAGGGCATTTTTGATCGTTCCTCTACTATTTTAAAACGCTACTTTAACAAACGGCAATTATAACTAACGCATCTAGTTTCGCTATATGTTGAGTAATTGTTAAATAAAAACATGCACTAATTTCCTGAATGCTCAATGAGTTCTGTAAATTACTGCATATTATTATTTGCTCATTGTTTATAAATCAATTTTACATTTATCAACAAAATAGTCGTTAACTAACGGTTTGTTAAAAACGATAAATAATTAACTTGTAAATAATATTTTAACGAAATGTTTATTTTTAACGAATACTATGCAATAATGTTAGAATGTAATGTAATATTCGGATTTTCTCATCTAACTAAAATTATGTTGTATATGAAACAATTCAATTGCAATTTAATCTTTTATTTAAATAAAAATAATTTTAAAGTTTTCAGGGTCCGTTGTTTACGGCGAATTTCGTACATAATAGTAAATAAAAAACGACCGCAATTTTGTAATTTGAAGCCTATCATGTGTGTCGAATTTAACAAGTCGAAATGCTATTGTAGGAGTTCTTATTTACACAAAATTATGTCAATGATGTGATTTTACAGTTGAATTACGTTTTGGAAATTGACCTGTTGCATGAAACTTGTCCATAATAAATTTAATACTTTTACTACTCATTTACTTTTATAGAATTGTTCCCGTACATCCCCCATACGTGCTATTTAGGCCCGCAACTATGTCATACTATAGCCACTGATTGTACCGAGTACCACAGGATACTCTCCTGTTGCTGTCAAAAGTTAACTGCAGAGAAATGTAAGTGATTATTTTGCAATTATTACATATTTAAATATGGCCTTCTTCATCTCATCTCCAAGATTCTATTAAAACTTGCGTGTAACATTTTTGTTTAATAGAGGGATAACTAGAGTTTCCAAGATTGATTAACATGGAATTGAAAATTATTTTGTTTTAGTTCGCGAATTTTTATTGAGAACTACAGAGATACCCGAAACTACTGCTACTACTAGTATTTTAGTTACCAGCGAATTAATTACAGAGCTTTCTACAATCGAAGAGATTAACACTTCTCAGCAGTTTAAACGATTTGCTATTGCAAATACGAAAGATATTTCCATAGGTACATTGCAATAAATTACAATTGTTTTATTAAATAATTCGTAATTTGTTAAATTTATGATTTTGGGTTACCTCGTATATACTGTGACCAATTCTATTGTTTTTTGTACGCGCAAGTTTATTTCCAACGGGCCGTTGAACTAAAAAAAATATTGCAAAAACCGACCTTAGCAATGGATTAAATTTGTTTTTACATAACTGCAGTTCAAGGTGTAATAAACGTTGGTAATTTGAATTTTGATTAGATTTTTTTTACTAAAAGTTTAAATTATATCTAATGTTTGTCGATGAATTCGAGATTTACATTGATTTTATCAATTGTTGTCCTTGAATAGTCCTTTTTTTAGTTACTTATTCTGAATAAAAATTATACAACCAATTTTTAGAAGTAAAGAGTAATTATTACAGACCAACAGGGGTAACTGCGTGATTTTCTACTAAAAAAATAATGCATTACAACACATACTTTTAATTGATATTTTTCTTATTTTTGTGTTACAGGGAAGGCAAAGTCGGGATCGCCAGAATTACCTAACAAAGTGTTTACACATATTTGCTTGTTAATTTTTATTCAATATACATTTTTATAGACTGCGTTTCTAAATTAAGTTTTTATTATATTATTTTAAAATGATCTAGTCTTGTTCCAATGTTGAATGTTATGTGTACATATTTTTAGCTAGATGTATTGAATAATATGTGAATACAAAAAAAGATTAAGTTTTAAAAGTTTAAATCTAGTCTGTTATTAATATTGTAGTTATTAAATACATATAACACTATTTTGTATAATGGTTATTATTCCGTTCTATGATATTTTCTTAATATCCGTAAATAATAAAATGTTAAAAAATTTTCCAAATCCACATTGTGATACCATTCTTTAATTATTTTGTCAAATAAACGATTACTATAACGATCTTTCATTACATAATTAATTACAGAATATTTATTTCTTCCATTTCACCTACATTTCATAGGTGAATTAAAATCCCGGCGTCGATTCTGAATGAGAAAAAATCGATTACAGTTACTATCCACAATGTATAGCAGGACACGTTTTAAGAAGTGCGTTGGCCTAATCGATAAAAACGCAAGAACTGTTGAATACAAAGCGCTATACAGTTACTTTACTCGAGATGAGTTTATGGCGATTATTTCGATTTCGACATTTAGTCGCACCATCAACTTGCTCGAGGATGCTAGCTAAAATTATCGTGATTGTGGTAGTTGCTGCTGAATTCGCCCATGCAGGTATTTAAATAAAGCATCTAGAAAAGTGTAGTATTGGAGTTTCTGATAGATTTTAATGTGCTTTAATTGCGAATATTTCACAGATTTGTATAGCAATATTATAGGACCTAACGCCAATGTAGTACCGCAAGGATTCGCGAGTCCTGTGTACGGTAACGTTTTGGACCTTCTTAAGGGCTACAGCAGTAAAAGGCGATGCCCGATTTGCGATCCGTCCGTTTACAGTTACTGCACTGATAAATTATTCCACGATTCCTGCTGTTGTCACAACCCCACCAATCCATATGGCAAGTATAGCAGTTTTTTCAAAATCAACCAAGACAAAATATCTCAAAAATTAAGATCAGAATTTAATTTTCTTTGGGCTGTTTTGTCTTGTGCTCGAGTGATTTTGATTTGATGTATTTTATCTGGGCTTTTCTATGTTAGATGATTTTGTTTTTTGAACTATTTGATCTTTGGGCATTTATGTATTTGGGCTATTTGGACTATTTTGTCTTTGAGAATTTTTTTTCTTTGGGCTATTTTGACGGGCTACCAGATTTTTTAACTCTCCTTGAGTGTATGTACATTAATAATAATTATTATTAATATTAACCTTCACCTAAATGTTAATCTCCAATTAAATACTCACTATTTCAATTTGTTTGAATTCACTCGATTACGAATTAATTGAGGGACTTTTGGTGGTTTCCAGATTGAAAAACTTTCATATATTTTCCAGATACTCTGCCTTACCAGTGCTCTTTGGCAGATTGCAGCTTCCTGCACGCCAACAGTTGCCAAGAACACAAACTGATCACAGCGTGTTGCTGCTACTCAAAATGAATTCCGTTATTATTTTAGAAAATATTTATTTTTTATACATACAATAAATTATTGCTATATTAATATTACAACCTTTCATTCGATTTTACAGAATGTTTCAATATGATATGTTGCGATATTCAATGAGATAAAAATTAGTAATGCCAACAAGCAGATTTGTGCAATAAATACTTTTATAATAGCGTTTTGATATACATACAAGTATTAAAAAATGTAGCTTTTTATTAACAATATAGTACTTAGGATGTTTGTCCTTACATGCAAACGATGCTCTTTACATGATTAAGTTCATTTCAAGAAGTATGTAGATTTATAATTAAGGTTTTTTATACAGGGTTTTTAATACACTCAAGTATTTACATAATTTTTATCACAATCGAGAAACATTCTGTACATATCACCGCCATCTTCAACGAATAATTGCGCAAAGCACCGTTCTAAACAGGTAATATTTGTGAAACGACTAAAATTGACAAGTTACAATGAGATCACGTCTATTGGTAAACGAAAAAATAATAATAATTTTACAACCTCATTTCTCGAGCAAAACTAAAGACACGGGAAGAACAATGAAGCACGAGTCATTTTAATTTAAAATACATTACAGGATGATTAATTTTAGTCTTACTCACTCATTGTATTCCCATTAATTTTATTAAGTACCTAACAAATGAAAGAATGCCATGAGAATGTTACCAATGATAAATAAATAAAAAAATGAGGTTGCCAAATTGAAATGATTCAGTCTTAAACTAATAAAGAAAAATATGGCACATAAAATATAGTGTAAGCAACCTATTCCTTCTTTCTTTAATACAATCAATTCCTAATTTTATTGTGAATTTTTCACACTGTTATTGTTAATACATAAATCACATTTATGCACAACAGCGAAACTATACATAGATACAACAACAATTCGAGTGCGTTGTAAAACATATTAACAAAAATAATTTAAGGATTTACATAAAAAAAATCATATTTCAGATAATCAATCACTTACTACATGTTAAGATTTTCAATTCCTTTCGCTTCCTATAATGTTTAGTTTGTTTAGTAAACGAGAAATAACCGAGTTTGGAAAAGATGAAAATATTCAGAGCCCCTTTTTATCATTTAAGAGACACATAAGGAGAATCTTTCAATTTGTACACCCATAATAACCTAGATAATGTTAAATATACGACAATATATGGGTAACTGCAAAATTGTTTGTAATATTGCACTCTTTCTTTTTCCTTTTTGGAACAATTTTGCATCTACCTGTATAATAAAAAGCGCCCACCACAGTCTTTAAATTGCAATCTATCAGTGAAGTATTACGTATTTCAAAAGTGTAAAAATATTCACCTTTTTAAGACGTTTCCCGCGATATCACTCCTCAATCGCACCTTAAAAAAAACAATTTCTAATGTTTAAATTCTTAAATGTGCTCCATAAAAGTGTTTACAGCGATTGTTACACGGTACCTTCGATACCGAATTGTGCTGTGAATTGCGTGTCACATCGATTCCATAAAAAAAACGTTTATCTGTCGTGAGAATTTGATGCTTCAGAAACTAACATACGACCGTTAAATATTAAAACGCCGACCGAACGCTATAAAAGTTTACATGAAAAAGCTACGAGTTCGTCAGAACGCCGCTTAAATTCGATATTCAGAAAAAACAAAAAGTTTGATTTGTCTAGTTCCCTTGATAAACGTTAATAAATTTGATTTATATCGCCTTTTAGGAGCGATCCGTTTGATTACTCATCGTTTCGCTGGTCCTCGTACTCGACAAAGGCTTGGCTATTCCCAATTTCACAACGCCCTGCGGCGTGCCCTTCAGGGCTTGCACCGCCTGATCCAACGTCGCGTTCCTTATGATTTTACCGTTCACGCTGATCAGACGATCGCCCGGCGTGATTTTCCCGTTTTGCTCCGCCGGACCGTTCGGCACCAGACTTCTCACCTATAATAATCCAAGCAATCACTATAAATACCTAACCTAGTACTGTGAATCTACTCTACTCTTAATTTAGTCTGAAACAGCTCTGAATATAAGCTGAATCTACTCTGAAACAGCTCTGAATCTACGCTGAATCTACTCTGAAACAGCTCTGAATCTACGCTGAATCTACTCTGAAACAGCTCTGAATCTAGTCGGAATCTTCTTTATTGTATCTACTTTGAAAATGCTCTGAATCTACTCTTACTCTAAATCAACTCTGAATCTATTATACTCTACTCTGACTCTGAATTTACTCTGAAACTGCCTCGAATCTACGCTAAATCTAATCTGAATCTTCTCGGACTCTTCTCTGTTGTATTTACATACTCTGAAAGTGCTCTGAATCTACTTTTACTCTAAATCAACGCTGAATTTACTCTAAATCACTTCTAAATCAACTCCGAATTTAATCTGAAACAGCTCTGAATCCACTCTGATTCTACTCGGAATCTTCCTTGTTGTATCTACTTTGAAAATGCTCTGAATCTACTCTTACTCTAAATCAACTCTGAATCTATTATACTCTACTCTGACTCTGAATTTACTCTGAAACTGCCTCGAATCTACGCTAAATCTAATCTGAATCATCTCGGACTCTTCTCTGTTGTATTTACATACTCTGAAAGTGCTCTGAATCTACTTTTACTCTAAATCAACGATGAATTTACTCTAAATCACTTCTAAATCAACTCCGAATTTAATCTGAAACAGCTTTGAATCCACTCTGATTCTACTCGGAATCTTCCTTGTTGTATCTACTTTGAAAATGCTCTGAATCTACTCTTACTCTAAATCAACTCTGAATCTATTATACTCTACTCTGACTCTGAATTTACTCTGAAACTGCCTTGAATCTACGCTAAATCTACTCTGAATCTTCTCGGACTCTTCTCTGTTGTATCTACATACTCTGAAAGTGCTCTGAATCTACTTTTACTCTAAATCAACGCTGAATTTACTCTAAATCACTTCTAAATCAACTCCGAATTTAATCTGAAACAGTTCTGAATCCACTCTGATTCTACTCGGAATCTTCCTTGTTGTATCTACTTTGAAAATGCTCTGAATCTACTCTTACTCTAAATCAACGAATCTTCTCGGACTCTTCTCTGTTGTATTGACATTCTCTGAAAGTGCTCTGAATCTACTCTTACCCTAAATCAACTCTGAATTTACTATGAAACAGCTCTGAATCTACGCTGAATCTACTCTTACTCTAAATCGACTGTGAATCTACTCTACCTTACTATACTCTAATCGAATTATTGCACCAAAACTCACCACAATCACGCTGGATTTGAGATCGATCGGATCCTGATAATCCAAAATGGAGAAACCCAATCCACGATCGCCCTTCATCAGTTCGACGTATTCGACTTCGTCGGACCACATCGCGACGTTGGTGACTTCTAACGAGCGGGATTTCGCTTTTTGCAGATTAGATTCGTCTAGAAACCAATTAAAAAAAAAACTAGCTATTCAACTCGCATTCACAAGCGATTCGATACGTACCGGTAATGGTACTCGACGTGTTCAGACTGGTATCGCTGAGGGCCTTGATGAGCTTCTGCTCCGGCTGCGGCAGGAGGTTCTTCAAGCTGCCGCCGAGGATGTTTCGAGCCTCGAACGCCTCCCGGTCCTGCGAGGTGTTTATCACGCGGTTCGTTTTGTTCTCTCTCGCGCAAACTATGCGAACGGCGTTGGGAAGCTCTTTGAGTATTTTCACTACTTCCACGTGGCGAATGCCCAGCAGTTTCTGGCCGTTCACCTTTGAAAAAATATTCGCGATTTTAACCGCATTTAATTCTGTGCATAAGTACCTCTAAAAGTTCGTCGCCTGGGTTCAATTTCCCGTTCTGACCGACGGGGCCTTCCGGTAGAATCGATCGAATGTAATGGTGAGGTCTCAGTTCGATTCCACCTTCCACGTCGACTGTTCCTTCTAAGCTTATACCTAATCCTTAAACATTAAACATTTCGTAATACAAATCCTTAATGAGTGAATAGTTTACTTTGGATACCTTTTAGTTTTACGAGGTTGGCAACGACAATGTTGGCGCAATCTCCGATGATTCCTTGCCACTTTTCCTTAGTGGCGGTTTCCAAGTCGTCGGCTAGATTGACTTCGAAATTTTCGTCGATGAAAATCTCCTTGGAATCCGTATTTTGATCGAAGAGTATGCTGTTGCTGTTCAATGACGTGTTCTCGGCGTTGTCTTGCTCCTGTCAAGAGACAAAAAATTAGAGAAAAAGGTTCAAAAACCTTATACAAAGATTTTAAAACCATGAAACCTTTTGCTTTAAAGCAACAGCAGGATCCTCGAAGCGAAACCTCTCTTCCTTCTCTTCTTTTTACGCATATACCTTGAAGCAATTTCTTCATTTTTGAAGCAAAAGGTTGTGCTTCTTTTTATAAATACAGCCTAATAATAAATCGGGCGTACTCACGTCTGTATTGTCTATAGGAATCCAACTTAAAGTGGTAACGCTGGGACTGGCTGGGCTGATTTCGTTATTTTTCTCCCTGTCTGCGATCGCTTCTTGCAGTTGCTCATATTTGGGACCGCTTAAATACCGCTCGAACGTGATATCTACTTCGCGGTTGGTTTCTTTGAGCCTCTTAACTGCTTCATAATTGGTACAATTTTCTAAACTGACACCGTCGACTTCGATAATCCTGTCGTTGATCTGGATTTTACCGCATTTATAAGCGTACGATTGTTCGTTTAAACTTTTAACGAATATCCCGCACAGAGATTCCTTTTCGCAAACATAACCCGCTATCGTGATACCTAAAAATTATGTTTTTAATGGTTTATTTGTAATTGTTTGTTGTTGTTTTATGTACCTAATCCATTCTCGTCCTTGATTAATTTTACTTTATACTTTTCCGTTTCGGGTTCGTTGTCTATGCACTCTATATCAACGATGAGTTGTTTAGTTGGCTGCGGTTCCACTGGGGATATGCCGTTCGGTGTGACTTTACCGCTCGTCGCTGGACTCTTACCGTTTAAGGTACTCAAATTTATGCTATTTAAATTTTCTACTTGACTCTGTTGGCTAGTTTCGGTTTTCACAACCTGCGAACATCGAAAATATCTCCATAAAGTCGATAATAGAAGAAATACTATCAAATTACCTGTAGTGCTTCAGCGTACTGGTAAAACGAAGAAGTGTAACCATTTTGTAAAAGTTGCCTGTCCAATTCCTCGGGGTCAGTTAGGATTTTCGTCGGAACAACGGGCGCTGAACAACTGTATAGTAGAAAATCCTGCGAAGTGGGTTCAACAGAACGGGCTACTACCATTCTTACCTAAAATTTCGAAATTTTTAATCACTTACTGGCATTAAAACGTAAACAAATAGCTTCGTATTATTAAAAATATCTACAAGAACTAATAAGAAGAGACGAGTACTATGAAATTAACCCGAATAAAATTCACACACACTATGATACGATCGTTACTTCTTTCTCTCGATACTCCACAAACCAAACAAGAATAAGAAGAGCCTTACTATTAAATAAAAATCAATGAAAAATCGACTTAAAGACACATACTACTACAACACACAAGTGCAATGAACTATGAAATCTTACATATCAACATTTTGGTGTAGTTTTAAAAAATGGTAACCACCTGCTGTCCTGCCTGTCTCAACACAGTCGCGACTTGATCTGCTGTGAGCCCCCTTAAATTTACGTCTCCTATTTGGAGGATGTGGTCCCCGCTTTGCAAGCGACTGTCTTTATCGGCTATACCACCGGGTAGAATGGATTTGATGACTACACCAGTGCTCCGGCCTCCGACTATGCCGAACCCGAGACCTGAGCCATCATTAACGAGATCGATCACCTCCACTTGAGACCACTCTGTACTGAGGACCATTGTTGTTGTTATAACACATTTCTTTCGACAATGGAGCTTAGCTGTTTCCTTGGAATCGATACATTGGACGTTATAAGTAAAATTAACCGCTCGAAATTATCAGTCGGCACTAATGGGAGCGATTTCGTGGAAACGTTTTAAATAGAAGAGTATTTTTAGTTGATATAAACATTGTTAAATAAATATTTATTCCATTTTCGTGTTAAATTAAATTTCGCACAATCCAAACGAAATCGTTTGACATTTCTGTAAATGACAACTGACATTGACAAATTTAAACTTCAAATCACAGTAGTCCAAATAATCGATTATTTGCAAATCTTTTTATATCTCTCTTTGTTTAGCTCTTGAGTTGAAAAGAGGCGTGCTATCCCAAATCACTTGTGTTGATATAAATAAAACGGATATTAGAACAGAGAGGGATCGGCCCAATTTGTTTGACCCAATTTGAATTAAAATATTTGTTAAAATTAAAAATTTTCATTATCTGGGATAATAAAACGAATTTTAGAGCATTTTCCAAGATTAAACAAATATTTCTAATAAGTATATTATTTTTTCATTTTATTAAAATATAAAATTATTCATTGAACAATAATCCATAAGCTCCAAAAGCTAAAGCAACATCGGTTTGATCCCAAAATCTGTGATAAGAAAATTTAGGCGCCGGTCCACCGTTCAAGTATTCCTCGATCTTGCCCCACTGGGGATCCTTCTTGTAGAAGGACCGAATGCTAACGAAAGTGGCCGATGAATTGATAACATCACCGTTGGGATAAACCCCGGTCCATCCTTCTGGCACGTACACGGATTGATTGAAGTGATAGTCGGGTTGTTCTTCCACCGTCACGCCGATTTCATCCCTGTTGTTCTCCCACAGGGAATCCAGCAATTTCTTGGCCAGGTTTTTGGCCTCTTGGTTGCCGGATTTGGCCGCGTAATAAGACAATGCTCTTGCAGTTGCAGCCGCAGGACCTACACCGTTGCCGTAATAGACGACTTTACAGTGAACGTTCGGGGGAACACCTTCCCAATCCAGTGTACTCGGCATTTGGAAGGAGTTTCCGCTGAAAGTGGTTTCTTTTAATATCCAACCCACCCATTTGTCCAGAACCTTCTTGACTTTCTCGTCGCCGGTGACGTAATAGTATTGCGCCAGGCGGTCGGTAGACCAAGGTTGCATACCGAACCATTGGTTCGACGGGGGATCGTAGGAAACCGGCTCCCAAGAGTACCACATTCCATGGAAAGTGTTCGCTTTTATTTCCTCCGGCGGATCTTCGTACCTGTCGTTCCAGTTGTTGTTTACTCCCCCAGCAAAAGCGCCTTCCTTCGACTGGAGATACTCGTAGAGCTCCAGTTGTCTTTCTAAAGATTTTTCCCAATCTCCTACGGCGCTAGGCGCTTTCGGCGTCATGTGGGGTTCGTTGATTAACGCGTACGCCGCCATCGGATTTTGGTAACCGAAATGAGCGACTCCCTCCGATATCCTCCAGGAATAACCGTACTCTTTGGCTATGGAGCCTCCCCAGCCGAAGAACCAGCCGAGCAAATAGTGCGCGCTGTCTCTTCCAGTACCTCCCGGGCACTTGTAAGGGTCGATGCAGTTGCCTATTCGTTTGAAATACTTATCGAAGAAGCAGTACCTGAGGTAGTCTCCGAGTTTGCTGGCTTTGGATAGCGTGTCTTTGATTTGGTCGAGTTTTCCCGCGGCTGTAGCCCACCTAAAGAGATTTTAATGTGATTCGAGTGTAAGTAAGTTTAAATGAAATGTTACCTTGAGGCCCAGAATGCTGCTTGAATAGCCCTGGCGTCTGCGTCCGGTGCAACGGAGTACTTCCAATTAGGGGCGTGATCACCGATCGAGAACAAATCTCCGAAGCCCATTTTTCCTCCGTACTTGAAATTGTCGCAAGTTGGTTGCGGAATGGTTTTGAAAGCGGTTTCCCTCGGTCCTCGTTGGTAGGTGTTAATAAAAGATGGTCCGGGTTCGCTGGGTCCCAATTGGCAATTTCCAGGGCTGTTTCCGAAACCGTAAATGTTGTCTACGTCCGTTAGCCAGTGCATTGCGTAGATGTCCGAGGTGTTGTAGGTCTCCACAAGTTCTTCGTACAGAGGATCGATTCCTACCGGTGCTGGGGGATTCACTGGGGCCATGGGGTAGTCGGACGGGTAGTCTCCTCCGGGGCCGTAACCCGCTGGATGGCTGTGGTTGTAGAGGTCCGTGTTGGGTTGGCTCTCGTGCACCGGTATGATGTATTTTTCCATGATTTCCCAGGCTTCGTTGAACTTGGAAAAGTCGTTTGTAATGCCGCCGTACATTGATTCGAGCCAAATGTAGTAGCTGTGAGCTTCCGAAGTGGTTTCGTGGCCGTAGTCCGAGGATTCCACTATTAGAGTTTCAACGGCGTGGTAAGGAATGCCTTTTGGTGAAAAATAGCCGTTGGATGGATCGTGCATTTTGTTGTACTGCTCCAAGAATCTTTGCTTGTAGACACTTTCGGCACTAACGCACAGAGAAGTTGCTAAAATTGCACAAATAATTTTAAGATTCATCTTTGCGATGGTACTAATTGCACATATGGTTCCGATACGAAGTATTAGGTGGTTGCTAAGTGAGCACTATTTTATACCGAATTTTCAAGTGCCTATAAACACTTATATTAAAAATAAAAAATAAATGACTGATTAGATTATATCATAGGTTTTTAAAAAAAGTATTTATAAGGACTTCAATTTTGACTATATTTTAAACAAAGATCAATGGGCTAAATAATAATAGTATGTAATGTAATAGCGATATAGGTAAATGGTATAGGTAAAATATTTTTAAAGTAAATGTGCATATTTTTTTCAGCTTAAAATAGGCTTTAAACATCGACACATATAAAATCACCAACAAAAATATAGTGATTATTTATTAAATAATTTGGCTATCGACCAAAAATCTATGATGTTTCTTAACATGCATCTGTTACAAACGAGTTATTTTGCAAAATGAGTGAATCAATAATAATATCAATGAAAGTAACATTATGCTTAAAACGGTAATTTTATAAATAAATGATAACATATTTTATTATTTATTAGTGAATTCGTTTCTTTATAATAAACACTACAAATATTATCATTTTTTATTTGAATTATTGTAAACTGTTCAAGGGTCACGTTCATAAAATATGAAATAACTGTACTCAAAAATTTTGTATCGATAAGCGATGTGAAACATAAATATGTATAAAAATTTAATTAATGAACATTATTTTAAATAACGGTCTACAATGAATAATGGTGTAGTAAGATTTATTGCAGGAATATTTTTTTAACAGACAGGTTGTAATTTTTTTAATAATTTTAATTAACTAATTTTTTAACAAATAGTAAATTAAGCCTAAAATTATGGAAGGAGTAATCGCAAAATAAATTTTATACCATTATATTTTTATTTATAAATATTAGTAGATAGGTAGATATTGCCTAGTTAAATATTTTTTTATAACCAATTTAACTGTCTAATAAAAATGGATGCGTAACAAAACGTATAAAAACGATTTTTAAAAATAACATTTATTTAGGTTTAATAAAAATTCGTGGTTCGCACACCTATGCACAAAACTGCATTTTTCTATCGGTTTATAAGTTTATTAGCAATTCTTAAAACTCAATTAAACAGGGATTTCCTTCGATAACAGCAGTTGTTTACCAAAATTATGACGTTAACTGATCGTTGCGTTTACAAAACTTTCATAATCTCAGTACACCGCCGCGCATTGAGTTAAAGTTACTACCTGTAATATAATGGAAAAAAGAAATATCAACAAAGTGTGTGCGATATTCTTCGATTTGGACAATACGCTCATAGAGACGAGGAAAGCGGACGAGCAGACTTGTAATAAGGTATTTAAATTTCATTTATCTAACAACCGTGGTTCTTTGTCCGATTTTATTTCTAATAGTCTGACTTTTTGGTGGAATAAACCCACAATTGAAACGAACGTAATCAAGATTCCCGATCAGCTGACTCTTAACATATGTCACCCAATGTTGTCACTATTTCAATAATTATATCATTTTACAGATTTTGTCTACATTTTCTAAATCAGATAATTCCTCTAATACGTAGTAATAATTTTTTTAACATCGCTTATCAATTTATAGTCCCCCAATTAGTAATTATCAATTTAGTAACAATTTTTAAACAACAAATTGTACAAAAAACAAGCCTCATTTCGCCTAAAAGTCCTTATTTAGATTCAACAATGACAACGTTGCAAGAAACTGTCAACTGTCACTGCCGCAACGCATGCGGGTGGCTGTCATTGTGAAAGTCACAAACAAAAAGTGTGGTTATGTTAGCGGCGATCTAACCTCAAAACAACCTGAAATCGTAGTCAACCTCTGTAAAATCTAAAAATAAGTAAGTCGATACCGAGGCCATAGGAATAACCGAATATAGAAATTCGTAGTGCCCGTCATCCAAAAATATCTGAAACTATGAAGAGAAGCGAGGCGACTCCACCGCCAGTATCTCGATGAAGCGACTCCAGTTCGCTAGAAATTGAACCGTTTGCACATTAAATCAAATTCGATCACGATGGGTGAGGTATCGGACGCCGTTAAAAAGTGCTGTAACATACTGAAAAACTCGGCAAGCGATACGGAAAAATTCGCCGCCTTGTTTATGGTTACGAAACTAGTGAAAGGTAAACATGCCACGCCGAACGCCAAGAAAGCCATATTCGAATCGATCGGTTTCGACTTTCTGCGGAGGCTTTTAGTGGCTACAGATGTCCCGGTGGATTGCCCGCCTTCTATATACAAATCCATAGCGCTCTCGATAGTGTCCGTTTTCTCCAACGAAGAGGAACTGGCCACGAAGAAAGAGATGCTCGAATTCGTGCCTATATTCCTCGATATCGTAAAAACCGCGGACGATTCGGCTAACGATGACAGCTTGATGGCTATCGGAGAAGCTTACAATTGCTTGAAAGGCATAGCCGCCTACGAACCCGGTCAAAAGAAGCTCATCGAGTGCCAGGGAGTAGATAAGCTAGGCGAAATATACGCTCAAGGCAGTTTCCAATCCGACGAGGCCCTCAACATCATGGCCGTTTTGATAGCCAAAGATCCCAAATCTTGGACCAACAAAGACCCGAAAGCCTACCACGCCTTATTGAACAAGATTTCGGTGGATTTCGAAACCGATCAGGACAAGAGGAAGTTCGAAATATGCGAAGTCCTCAACGCTCTGGTGTTCAACTGCCCTCGCGCAAACATATCTGAATTTGCTCAAAGCGAAATATGGCCCAACAGCATCTACAAAGGCCTTTGTGATATACTTCAAAGTAAAATCGGGCCGGCCCAACGCAACCCAGCGCTGTTGCTCACTTCCAGTACGTTAGAACTGCTAGGCATCGATTGGGTATTCACGGACGAAGCGAAAGGCAAACAAATATTCCTACTCCTAATTCAACTAGCCGCCATCGAAGTTCGAATGCAGCTGGAGAACAAGAGCTTGAAATCATTGGCTCAACACCAAAATCTAATCACCGCCTGTTACCTGATACTCGAAGTGTCCATCAACTACATAACGGAGGATAAAATAGATTTAGACGAAAAGGAGAAACAGACCTTGTACACGGGATTAAAAGGCGCGTTCACTGCTATTGCGGGATTGATGGGGAAAATCGATGCGGACAAGTCCAAGCCTTCCAACGACGACAAGCTGTTTATTTGCGCTACGATTAGGGTACTAGCGGCTTGGCTGGCCCAAGAAACTTCGGCTATGCGGCCACAAATTTACAAGCTACTCCCTTTCATATTGGAATTAGCCAACGAAACGTTTTACGCTTACAGAGACAGAAAATTGGCCGAAAAATTGAACCAACCTCACGACAACAACCCTTTGAGTACTGTCGATACTCTACGAGTGCTTCTACCGGCTCTATGCCATCTGGTAGTTGAAGACGACGCTCGAAAGGTGTTTTTGAACGTCAAAGAAGACAAAGTTTTGTTGGACTTTTTGGAGTTCCACTGGACAATTGTGCATTACAAGAGACCTCCCGTGCCGAGAGCCGAAAGACTTAAAGCCTTGAACACGCCTATAACGTTTACGCAGGAAATGCTGGACGAACAGAAAGATTCGAGGGCTGCCATGATTAGCTGTTGCAACATTTTAATGAACTTGACCGTGTTGGAGCCGAAGATCGTCGAAAAGTCCGAGGTGTTCGATAAATTGTCGAAGTTCGTGTTCGAAAATTTGCCCGAGTTGAAAGATATACCTGAGAATTTGGTGCTGCACGGGAACTTATCGGTTCTCGGTCTCTTATTAATGAAACAGCTGTCTAACAAGATAAAAAAGAACGACTTTTCCTTATGTAGATATATTCAAGCTACCATTAGATTCTTATGGGATGCTTATACGATTGACGAGTCCAAAGATCTTGAGTTGGTGGTTTCCATGGCGTATAAAGAACACTGGATGGAGCTCAGCGATTTATGGTACCTCGGTATGCAGACATTGTCCGGAGCCCTTAAAGGAACTCCTTGGATATCCGAATTCGCCATAGAGAGTGGCTGGGCAGAGGGGATCGTGCAGCTACTTAAAAAAGTTAAAATTGGAACGCTACCGCCTAATGTAAAATCGGCGTTCGAGGATTTCTTGTGCCATCTGATTGATGCTAACGACAGTGTAGTAGGTGTCTTAAAAAAAGCCGAAGCTTTGCAAGCTTGCAGGAATCACCGGTTAATGGATTTGGGAAAGAAGCTGTTCGGAGATTAAGTTCTCGTTGTTTTTAAATTGTGTGTTGTTTAATGCTTTAAAATGGAGTAAGCTTAAAAACTGATAAGGCTATTTTTGCATTTACATGCGCAAATTTTGTACAATTTTTGTAATTCAAATATGTATAACACGTTGAAAAGTAATAATATACTGTTGTTATGCGAGTCATCGTTATATTTCGAATACAAAACCCGAATACTGAAAATAAGTTTTGAGTAAACATTTCCATAAATAAAATTATATTTTTAGAATTAAGTATGTATATTTATCCGAGAAAACGATTTGTTAATTTAATTTTCTTTCTGATGTACTTATCCCAACTTGTTTTATGAGAACTTAATTAAAGAAACATTTTTTAGCTACTGGAAATTTTATATAAACAGTTCCTTTTACCCCGGGACTCTGCTAAAGAGATATGCAACAAGTACTTAAAGTTGTTCAGAAAATGCCCCGAAAATTGTTCTATGGGCCTTCACGAATGGAGACAACTGCTGTGGGCGAAAGCTCTGGGCGAAAATCATCAACACCTGGCCAGTAAGTATAAATTTTTCAATTTAAAATACTTGTAAATTGTGTTGCCTATACATTAGGTGGATTTTATATAAAATTGTTTGACAGATCAAATGTCATAAATCATAATAAAAAGAAGAATAAGTTAACCTCAAAAAATGTGATTGTTTTTGTGCGAGTTTTTTAAAATTTGTGTAACTAAAAATGGGTAGAATTTCGAAAGATAAACGCGACATTTACTATCGCAAAGCGAAAGAACAAGGCTGGAGAGCGAGGAGCGCTTTCAAACTGCTCCAAATAGACGAAAAATACAACATATTCGAAGGCGTTACCAAAGCTGTGGATTTGTGCGCAGCCCCTGGCAGCTGGAGCCAGGTATTATCCAGAAAATTATATTTAGGCGAAAAGATCGCCATCAGGGACAAATGTTGTCTGTTTTACAACGAAATCGAGCAAGAACAAAAGTCGCAGAGAGAAGTGCAATTCGAAGGTAAAAAAAACGATGATGTGAAGATCGTTGCAGTCGATTTACAACCCATGTCTCCACTTCCTGGGGTGATTCAATTACAAGGTAAATCTCTATTGTAATAAAACCGTCTTTGGCACCTTTACGAGCCCTCTAAACGTTCCAGGCGACATCACAAAATATTCCACCGCCCAAGAAATAATGGCCCACTTTGAAGGCGATAAGGCCGATCTGGTAGTTTGCGACGGGGCCCCGGACGTCACCGGCCTGCACACGATGGACATCTACATTCAAGCTCAACTCCTTCTAGCCGCTCTACACATAAGCTGCAATGTCCTAAAATCCGGGGGCACATTTGTGGCCAAAATATTCCGAGGAAAAGACAACGATTTGCTAGTAAACCAGCTACTCTCGCTCTTTAAAGAGGTGGACGTAGCGAAACCGAGCAGCTCGAGGAACTCCAGTATAGAAGCTTTCGTCGTTTGCAGGAATTATTCACCGCCCAAGGGGTTCGATCCGAAGCTGTTGACGCCCTACCTGGACGTTTCCCATAGGGATTTTAACTCATTACAAGGGGTGAATAGAGTGATCATTCCTTTTATAGTTTGCGGTGACGTAAGCGCCTTTGATTCCGATGCTACTTATCCGTTGGAGTTGAAGGGTGAAGAACCGTATCAGTACAGGCCACCGGTACAACCTCCCATTGCTCCGCCGTACTCTTTCCATAAATCATCGGATAAAGACAGCTTGGATGATTATTTGAAGAAAATCGACGATGCTGTTAAACAAGCAGGTTTGGGGTCTTCCGGTGCGATTAGAAGGCAGTACTCTTCTTCGAAAGTACCGAAAATCGATCCGGAATTAGTAGAGGCTCAATCGAGTAAACATATATTGGAAAATGGACCCTATTTCGATTTGATCCAGAAAACCACCAAAATTAAGAAACACGTGGATAAAAAAGAAGAAGAGGATGTTGAAATCGAACAAGGCGAAACCTCCGGTTTGCAATTCTTGTACGAAGACGAATATACGGATCCTGAATTGATAAGGGAATGTCTGGAGAGAATGAAGATTTCCGGATGCGCTTCCACCTGTACTTGTAATTATTATAATTAAAACTATTAAATTATGTGACTGTAAAAATTGGAATAAATTTTCGTAACTGTTGTATTCGTAACGACTCCTCTATTAAAATCAAATGTCAGAATGTAGTGTCAACATCAAAATTCCAGTGAAACAAATTTCGGCCCGAAAAGAAAATCAAAATTTCAGTATTCCATAAAGAAAATTAGTAACTTGTAATGCAACTAAGGATAAAAGTAATTACTGGAGAAATACAAACCGTAGAAGTGGATCCGGGGGAGACCATCGCAGATTTGAAATATAAATTGGAAAGCGTGTTCGAAGGTTACCCTTTTCCCCAACAAAGGCTGTTTCTCGATGGCATACTTTTGTACAAAAGCCAGAAAAGTATCGAATATTATAAAATGAAAAATGGCGCTCTGCTCAACCTGCTCAAAGCACTCAGGAGTGCTTAATTAAACATAGAAAATTATGGATTTTGAGTTTTTCATCATTTCCCTTGTAGTTTTGTACGCCTGGTATTTCGTTTTTGCTAAGGAACAAGTTTAGAAATTGACGAGAAAAAAAATCACAAGCTATTATATTCACTCCAGATTTAATTCTAAGCACACATTTGTATTTCTTGCTACCGTTTAAGTATGATTTAAATAAATACCTTTGCTTACTAATTTTTTTACTAAGCAACGTAGCTCTGGTGAATAAAATCGAGTAATTAAAAAGACACTAGCATTAATTATACATTTATTGATTGATCGAATAAATAAATCGCCCGAAAACAACCGGTTCATTCATTTTCCATGCCACCTCTCAGCGCTACGACCAGATGCAAAATAGTCCCGCCTTTTAGTTTGTAACTGTTAATAGTCCGGTCATCTTTGAGTTGTTTTCCCTGAAAAACCAGCCTTTGTTGAACGGGCGGTATACCTTCTTTTTCTTCTAGTTTCTCTTTAATGGAGTAAATTTTATCCGAAGGTTCCACATCGATCATGCGTTCCTCTCCTGTTAGCGTAACGACCTAACAAATAAAACCAATGCAAAAAAACCTTTTCCAACTTTCGGATTTAATTGTAGATTAATTGGATATCGAGTTGACTCGCTAGATCGTTTGTTTTGGTAAATAATTTAAGTTCAATGAAAATCTGTAAGGTTAAAGATGTATTTTGTTATGTTGTGGCAGAGAAGATGAATTTAGGCGGGCGCAAGTTTGAAATGCAACGAAAATATTTGATTTCTTTTACCTTGACTAACATCGGAGAGGAGGGAATTACTGAGAATTTTGGATATTCTTGTAAATCTACTGAATTATCATTTTGTTATGTTACGTCAGGCTTGACAAAAGGTGTCATTTTGCTAAAGAAGAATACACCACAGGCGGTTTGACACTATTGAGTAATACTAATCCATCAAACCATTGAAATACACTTAAAAATCTACAATATACTTTTATTTAACTCACCTTCACATCGAACTTTCATTGCTTTCTTTAAATAAAGTCATTCAGGCAAAAATTCTTCGATTTCACCACCAACTTTATAGGATATTTTGGCTGATATACGTTCCTATTTCAGATGACATTTATGTTCGATGGTTAGAGCTCAGATACAAATATCTGTCGATAAAAGCGGAAATACGCAGCATGCTGACCTTTCTGAGCGACAAGTACCTCCTGGCCTTGATAACAAACGGGACTTCGAACGCCCAGTGGGAAAAAATCGAAAAACTCAACCTCAAGCACTTTTTCGATCTAATTTTAGTCTCCGGTAAGTTCCACATTTAAACATTTCACTCTGTTATTGGTCTTCCATTTACCTGTACCCTTGCCACGTTATTGCCCACTCATTGAATTAATAATTCGGGTACTAATGCGGAGACTGGTGACAGTAAGGGTGGATTTCCGCCATTGGAAAATTACAAAATTACCAAACTGTACAGGACCTGACCATTATGGAAATGTGCCAATTTCTACTGTGGTCTTCTCCTAAATGCAAGCGGTTCTCCAAAGCACCGAAACTGCTTCCAGTAAGAAGGTAATAAAATGCAATTTATTACACGAAATAACACACAGAGATTATCGCGCTTCTCGAATCTACTCAATTGGATTTTTTAGTAGATAATATCAAATTTTTAACGTTATAGGCGACCAACCGTGGGAGAAACCCCAGCCGGAGATATTCCTGGACGCGTGCGATAACCTCGGCATCGAACCCCATCAAGTAATAATGGTGGGAGACAAACTAGAAACGGACATTTTAGGAGGCAAGTACAACTAATTGCATAAGAAGAATCTCACCTAATTATGTTCCAATTTTTAATACTATTCTGGTTGTTAGGAATCAACTCGAAATTGGCTGCTAACGTGTGGATACCAATCGAAGGGCAACGCTTGCTCGACGACGATCCAGCGCCGGATTTTATTTTAGAAAATGTTACCGAACTGGTCTACCTGATGGCTAAAATCAACAAACCGGAGAATCCTATGGTTAATAGGTTGCAGGTGAGCGATATGGAGGATTGCAACAGCAACGGGAGCGATGGAAGCTGATGCAAGTTTTCGCTGAAATTTAATTTTTAGTTTATACGATCCGTCGGTTATAGATTGTGTTTTACAACGTTTTGTGATTTCTGATGACTTGTGCAATTTGTAGTATTTTTTAGAAACTGCGTAATTTACGAGGGTAAGGTGAAAAGTTCTCGGATTTTTAGTTAAAAAATTATATTATTTTTCTGCATCTCCCATGGCTTTAATGTTAAGGGAGATGTTGAGAGTCTGGAAGGCTGCTAAAATATCCAGTGAAGACTCTCTCAACTTCTTATCAGGCCAAGAAAATACAACTTTACCAATTATTGTTTATAAAAAGTCTGTACCTTTTCTGTCTGTACCTGCACCTAAATTTAGTCAATAATTTGCAATGAAACATGCTTGGTACAAATTTAACAGTTTCTATTATACCTACACATTAATTTATTATTTAACTTTTAAATTTGCATGTAAGATAAAATATTTAGAATTTTAGTACAGATTTTGTACGTTGTTTTATCAATTTTTTTTTCAGTAATAGGTATTTAATTAGGTACATATAACAATGTTTCTCGAATACAATTAGGTAGAAATAAACTATTGTAGAACGTAAAATACGCTCTCTAGTAGTAAAATACAATAAAGAGATTTCTATTTTTTATAAAATTTTGAATTACGGAATAGTTGTAATATTTAAAATTTAATAAAATTCAGTATAAACTAAATTTGTTATTTTCTTGTTCCATAAACCAGCAGTAGAAAAAAAACTATTTATACATGAGCAAACAATTTATTTTCAAACTACATTGGTAAAAACTTTTTATAGTGGATACCGACTTCGAAAAGGTGTAAAAACAAAATTACAAACTACAAAGTTAATTATATAATACAAACGGAGTCAACAAAATTACGAATGAAATAAACGTAAATTACTACATAAAACTAAAATATATTAGCACTTCACCAGTGGCCTGTTTTATACGGCAAAAATATACAAATTCCACTTAATTAACAGTAAGATAAGGAAAAAACAAACTTAAATCGGGCAAAAATATGTATACAAAATTACAATGGTTACAAATTCGACCACCAAATTTGATACATCATCGGGAAAAGTGGAGTAGATCATTAGAGAATACGCTTACAAAAAACTGCTTTTAAATTATTTTTTACAAACATACACTTAATTAAAACCTACATAAAATGTACATGGCAATAACAAATCTCTCTCCGAAACGAATTTTTCATCGCCTTTTTACCAAATTTAAATCTACAATAATCTACAAGCATTTCGTATTACGTTTCTCTTCTTCTTTTGCTTATTAGGTCGAAGGACTATAGTTCCATTGCGATTTTTGGAAGAATGACTAGGATTAAAAGCACCTAAAAACAAACAATATTAACACCTCCCAAAATCATCATCAAGAGTAAGAGTTGGCAAGAGGAGTTGATCAGAGGAGTTGATTAAAAGCTTTGATTACTTACTGATGGTTAGTGAATCGTGGAAAGCGGTGGGGGGGCTGAAGTAATCGTTGTCCCGGGGATCCCGGAGTTCTGCAAGGCACTTGGAGGCTAAATGACGAAAGACAGCGGCTACGTTAATGTCTTCTTTAACCGAGGTACGAATCAACCTGCAGCCCAAGGCTCTGGCGAGGAGTTCCGCTTCTTCCCTTTGAAATATCGACGAGATTAGTTTCAACGAAGAAGTGTTCGAAAAAATTGTATCTTTTGTGATGGGTATTACTGTGTTTTTACAGTTAAGTGAGTAGGTGAATTCGACATACAGGTGAATTTCTCTTCAAGCGCCTGGACAATGTGTGATTTAAGCGATAAATTAAAACCGTGATACTTACGGACTGACCACACCTTGGTCGAGAAGATCGATTTTATTTTGTACAATCACAGTTGGAATTTCGCCGCATTCATTTTCGACCTGAAAAAAATTATTTCATTAATAATATGAATTTAGAACCTAAATTAGCACCGGTAACTTTCGAAAGAATAGTCACAAAATTAAGAGAAAATACGATAGTTAATGGATCACTAATTTTAAAGTTTAGAAAATTTCACATCCATCAGGATAGCAAATTAATTCGGATTTTACGGTTGTCGTTAAGCGCAATAATTTATTATATTAATGGTTCACAAAATTTCCGACAACATATTATCGTCTTCGCACATTTATCTTATAAATTCGTCGTGGTTGAGCGTAGTTTCACTGAGAAATGTATTATTTCTAAACGGGAATGAAATACATAAATAAATAATTAATGAAGGTGTATTTGCATAATGTGAGTGTTGCCTCGAAAAATCCATCTTAATTATCAAAAGGTTTTTGTGCGGAAAAAAATTACATTAAGTACATTAAGTTGTATCCATAAATACCTTGCGATTAGGCCTTTCCATTTCGTTTTCGTTTTCTGATATTTCGATTTCACGTCTGATGTCAATATTTTTAGACCAAATATTGCAGAAGCCAAGCGGTGCATTTTAAAAACTATACACTAATAACTAATGAGACATTAAGCCGTAAATTCAAATTAATAAACTTTATACGAAATGTTTACATGATTCATTTCGTCGAATGCGATATTTATGCTTATATTGTTACGTATGATAATGCTATTTTTTTAATAATTTTGTATGTATTTTTGCGTAGGCAATTGAGTATTTTCATTTTCATTGCCAATGTCGATTGGGATATTATTATTTGCTCACATTGGTTGTCAATCAGTCAACAATTTGAGAATAAACAGCTTAAAAACAAATTAACAAAAACGTATTTTGAGAGAGCAAAATAAATGCAAGTAACTTGTTGTTAAAGTGCTTTAATTAAAATTAAAAAAGAATTCTAGGAAAAATAACGTGGAAAAATTAACTTATAAAACAGATTTATTTTGTATATTTATCGTTTGAATATGAATATTGTATACGAGATTTGTCAAAATTGATTGATTAATGTGTGAAAGTAAAAATAGAGAAAACTAGATTAGCATCGAAAATAAAATCAAAGCAATTCATCGAATCGTTACTTTCAAACAATTTTTTCATCATTCACGTTTTATTAAATATTTTTTGTCTATCAAATAATGTTCAGAATTTTTTTTCGTATGTTCCTTAAATTCCAAATAATAAAACATTACCAAGTAGGTACCTACCCAATAAATAAACATCTAATTATTATAGCTAAATTAATTTAATTTTCAAAATTCCTTCATTCTAATTAAATTTTTACGGCTGGATGGATAAAATTTTTGAAAAGCTAAAATGCTTTCCTCATCATCGCATTCCATAAAACATAAAATAATTTTTTATGACCAATCAGTTTTGTCACAAAGTTTTACCAAAGCGGAATTTAGCAAATTTCATGTTCAATTCAGTAAAGTCATTTCGCATACTTTTTGTATGACTCACGAATTCGCAAAAAATGAATTTCAAAGGATCGCCTATTTTCCGATTCTGTTGGAACAAATCCAGGTAGCCATATTTCACCAAGATTGATGATTGTGTGCGAAAAAAATTATTAAAACACGTTTCAATATGTCGTTTGTTTTCTCAACTCAAACAGATTTATTTCGACTGCATATTTAGATACCCGAAGGAATTTCGTCCTTTGTGATTGCATCAATTAGTTACTAATTAACTTACTTTGAGTTTCCACGAATGGGCGGCTTCGAACGAGTCTCTATCTACAGTTGAAAAGGCAAGAACGCAAGCTTGAGCTCCTCGGTAATAAGCCTTGGTGATGGCGTCGAATTCCTCTTGACCCGCCGTGTCCCACAGCATAAGCCGGACGTCTTCCCCATCGACCCTAAACACAAGCAATTCCCATGTAACAGCAGAGAATTCATCATCTCAATTATCTCTAATTTATCGCAACAGTTCCAACGAAACTATTTACCGGGAGATTGATCCTCTTCCCGGGAAAATAAAACTAATAGAAGAGATTTTTTGGTACCGGTCCAAATTAGTTTTCTTATTTCAGATGTATTTTATTAAATATCCACGCGAATGGGTTGCTGGATATAAATTACGTTAACGGTCCATCTCATGAATCACTCCGTGCAATAATTCGTTTTAAATGTATTTACAAAATCATGCCAGCTAAACGGGAGGATTCTATCATGTTAAATATACGATACGACATAAGATATTACGATTATAGAAACTCTACCTTGTTTCGAATAATTATATTATTAATTTTGGTGAAATGTTTGGTGAGTTATGAATGAGGAAAATTTGTGCCAAATGAATTTATACCGTTAAACAAACGTCCATTTGATGCAGCTTTGTTGTTATTCATTAATTTTCTTGTGAACACACTCTTATAGAAAGTATTACAATGCATAGAATCATGACTTGCAGCAATAAAAGGATAATAGTATGTAATCAGGTGATCACGATATCTTTGAAGAAGAGACTATAATGTAGGTTATATATAAATAAAATTTTCGCATCATCAAAGACAATACAACGTATAGTTTACTTACTCTATTTGTCTTTCTAAAAAATCAACGCCTATGGTTTTTTTATAGTCCTTGGTGAATGTTCCCTTGCAGTATCTTTGGATCATACTTGATTTGCCTACCCCACCATTTCCCACGATGACCACCTGAAATCAAACAAATCTATAAATAAGCTTCTTGGAGTAAACCAATCGAGCGGATTATTCACGAACATGAAAATAATCGCATGCCCATACAAAGTTTTTCAATTAAACATTGATAAAAGGTAATAATAGGTTATAAGTCATAAGTTATAAGCAAGCATTGATAGTGAAGCCGTTCAAACAGCTGCGGGTATAAATAACGCTGGTATAAGATGCAACATCGATGATAAATGCCATAACTTTATAGTGGAATTTATTTTTATTGGTCTTACTTGCGCTATCAGTGCGATTATGCAGGAAGTGCAGCGTGGAAGGAATTTAATTTGCACCGTCCATTATATCTCTACCATTAACGTTTATTGCAATTATTGGCGTTAAAAAACGTAATAACAATAATAACACACGATGATAATGAACATTTCTTTCTGTTAATGGGCAGTCTTTGATCCTTCGGTATGGAAATTATTTGATCTATTTTGAAAAATCAATTAATTCTATTTTTAACTGAACAAATCAGGAAATTAGTTCTTCTATGAAAATCCTGACAATCTAGGAACGGTTTGAAGGAGAAAGTTTTGCAATGTAAGTATACCACAGTACTATGAAGAAATCTAATTAATAGAATAAGTTATAAAGCGGAAGAGACTCGACATTGAACAGAAAAGAATATTAAATGGACGCTGCACGTACTTAGAAAAGAATGTACGAGTAAATTAATTATAACGGCATTAAACTTTCACACCCATGAGGCAATTAATCAGCCGAATGTTCGATTATTGAATAACGTTGCTGTAGGAAATATGCATTTCTTGAAGGTGTTTGTTGTTACCTATCTAATTGTGAATGGTGAAATACCTAATTATCTATTATGAAATTAGCAATTTTACCGAATAATTGAAGAGCTTTCGAGGATGAATAATTAATCAAATCGTAAACCGTCTAATTTTTTTATTCCAATTCGTGAATGTAGACAATGAAGTAGCCGTGAAGCAAAGGTTCTTGCACTTGAGTTGAAATACTAATTAACAAGATAAATAAATTATGCTCTTCAAATACAAAGCGAGTGGAAGGAGCGAGCAAATGGTTCATGGTCAGTGGTCAAACGTTTTTATTTTGCTCAAATTTCGTTAATGAATTAATAATTAGGATAAATTGTGTTAATAATAGGTCATTTAAAATTCGTAACCTCTTACATGGTAATTAACTTCATTTTTTTAAAAACCATAAATTTGACACTTTTTTTTGTTGCAAAATTCACCATAAAAATCTTTCAAACTTTACGTAATTAATTCCAGATAATTTACGGCGGAATTAACGGAACATTAATTGCGAAAAAAAAACTTCCATCAACAATGTTTTCATAAGATATTTGAGCATCAACTAACTAATAATGGAAAATTATGCGAAATTTATATTCACAGCTATACGTACTGATTACCAACAGTAGCGGACTAAAGCACTCTTCTTCTACAACATTTACCTTCTTGTACAGGGTGCTCCAAAAAATAATTAATGTTTAAACTATGTGCTGATAATATAAAAGATACAGGGTGTCCCTTACATTAGAAAAGTTCATGTACTTCGTTCATTCACAATAGAATTTTTCCAACGAAACGCCGCTGTTCGAAGAGCCATTAATATTAAATGTTAGAATGATTACATGTGTATGCAGATGCAGTTAGAGCAAGAATGTCAGCAATGTCGTTGTCCCGATATAATGCTACTATTTCTTCAAAAGACCTGGTTTACAGGAGTTTTTGCTCTGCCGTAGAGAAAAGTACAAAGAAACTACCAGTAAATAAATTCAATAGTTTTGCTCGCTTACGGCATTTCTGTTTACTTTGGTCTTTCTCTTTCAAAGTAAATCATTGGAAATTAATTAGTTTGATGTAACAAGTAGGAATGTTATTTAAGCAAGGTGCAAACGATTGCTAAATTAGCTGGGTACAAATAATTGTAATAAATGAATGAAGAATAAATGAAAAAATTAAGGTTTTAGATGTACCTTTAGGGCCACTTCTAGTTCTTCTTCCCTCATGTTGTTAGGCGCGCGGCCCGTAGCCCCTTGATAGGGCTCCCGAGCTCATCGCTCCTCTGTTGGAACTGGAACCCTGCAAAGAAATTACAAAAATGCTTAGATAAAATAATTACAAAACTAATAAGTAGTAAAATAACGAAGCATTTTCAATCAAAAGCACTTAAAAGGGTAGATCAAATGATGATATTAGCACAGTTATGATATTGTTTATAGTGTATTATTGAAGATATTTTCTAGTTTTCTAAATTTAATAGTCACAACAATGCATTTTCTAGTTGAAAATTGTTAAAAATCAATATTCGAAGTCCCGAAAAATAAATATCGCGTTCGTTTATGTGCATTCAAATCGTTTATTTAGGATCTATTTTAGATTGAAATTTATTTGTAAAAGGAATCTCTGGAGCATCGATTTTTCGACTCTCCAGCGCGTTACACCGTCGGCGCAATTAATTTCGAATTCGAAGTCAAAACAACATCGCCGAACGAATTTTCGAAAGTCGAAAACCGGTTCCATTGAAAGATCGCAGAAATTAGCGCTGCCTGTTTACGCATTTACCGGAGTCTGTTTAGATTTAGCTCCAGATAGATGTCACGGTTTTAATAGATGGTCTATTTATATTTTAACGCGGCATCGTCGGGGTCAATAATTTCCCGTTTAGCGGCGTTCGGGATCTTAAATTTGTATTTAACAGATCGACTTTTCGTGCATTCGGGTTCTTGATATCTACATACAAAGAAAATCGAGGAATTCTGTTGTTGATTGATGGTCCACCTATCACCTTTCGTTGTAGTTGTAATTGAAATTCAAACGTAAACTCTTTTTTTATCAATGCCGCATTAATTCTTTATAAATCGTTGTTGGCCATTGAGAAATACCCGCCGTCGACTGAAAGTGAACCGGCTACGAAAAATCTCGCGCTTGCCATATGGCGTCCGGTTGATATTCGAAAATGATTCGAATGGCGTATCGAAAAGTCCCAATTTTTACGCCGCTCTACTTGCGGACAATGTAATGTAATAAACGGCGAGGCGATTTCCCGATGCAGAGGCATCTCGCGTCGCCTTTTTTGCCCCGCTCTCGCATGTAAGGCACTTATTACTGTACCGAAGAAATGAAGAAAAGAAAAGCGCTAAATGCGAGAATGCGACGGTATATCGGAATCCGCGAACGACCTTGTCTCGATGTCAATGAACCAATAAAATCATCGGGAACGTATTTAATTTATAATCGAAACGCTAAATACACGAAAATTATTCGCTAAAACACCGGCTGTTTTAGCTTGTAGATTTCCCCGATGTTCCTGCAGGAAACCGAAAATCGGGATCATTACTCGCTATATTATTATCGAAGTAGCGCGAATATCTGTCGCAATAAATTTTGAAACTCGCTAGGTGTCCGGCCAGCGCTATTTTATAAATACCCAACATACATCATTATAACAAATATTGTTTGATATTTCGAAATCCGTGAAACATTGTTCTCGTTTTCACGAGCTTTCAGCAAAAGTCAAAGATCCGCATCGGCTTGTAGGCGTCGAGCACACCAAAATAACTATTAGAGAGGTCAGTTGCATTAAATTGTAATATTATAGTCTTCCTTTCGGTTGCAACATTTTTAAATTCGTTCGAAAATATGAAATTTTTAAACAAACTATAAAAAGCTACGCAAGTTTAAAAACATTTAAATTGCAGTTTCAATACAGTGAAATTACAATCTTCATACAGCTATATACAAGAGGAATTTAGATGAAGAAAGGGCCTAGACTATTCTTTAATTATTTCTTTAATAAAATAACAATTTGAAGGTGTGCTTGATTTTGATTTTGAAGGAAATCAAGCATACAGGAAAATCCGGTCCTGCATATCGAGATATCTTACATCCATTTTGCAAATGCATAAGAGTAATGGAGTAAAAATTAAATATATTCATTACCCAACAATCGAGTCCAATAAATACATACGCTTGTCGTAATGCATTATCGAGTTTAATTAAATACAGATAGAGTAAATTAGTTATTATAATAAGAGATATGTGGGACATATTCGAGTAGTTGCAGCGGCGGATACGCCATTCATTCTACAAAATAACGAGCGGACTTCGCGTTGAAAAAGCTAAAAACCTTGGGAGTTGGAAGTCACGTAACTGCTTTTAGTCCGCAAAGAAACAGATGGCATTTTAAAATTCAGTGAGATTTCTAGTGTTTAATACCATTTTTTTAGAATAGAAAAACGTTTTTTTTATTTAACATACTTTTAAAATACCGTTCGGAGATCGGCGATCGGTTACCTAGTTGAAAAAAAAGAATAATTTAACATTTTATGGAAATTATTTAAGACGTTAATTCCGAGTGTAACGTCAAATAGAGCATGATGGGATTTGAGAGCAGGTGAAATTTTTTACCTTACTTTAATTTTAATGTATAAATCAACTTTTACTACCCTTAATTTAGCATAATTTCTGATATTTACAACTAAATTACGTACGCAATTTTTCATATTTCGAAAATAACAGACAAAACGTATCATTATTCACACAATAACTGTACTAAGTACATCTTCAGTCACGGTTGGCTGATTGCTACAAATACCTATGGTTTAAGTTTAAAATCTTCCTGTCATCGAATAGCAGGATTTCAAATTTTTATACTAACACGATTATTTATATGTATGTTATTGTTTTCTTAATGTTACATAATACTTAAATTATATGAAATCCTGGATAGAAGCCAAAGTATCCTAAACCATAATCAACGAACAGGCACGTGTAACAATATCAAATACCTATTTATGGAAAGAAGAATGAGTATTATACAATTAGATAAATAAATTAAATTACTGTAGATAAGTACCTACTAAAATTTTATAGTAAGTATAAATGAAATCGAAGATCTTCAATCCCTTTCCATTTTCATCAATTAATTACGCTAGGCTTATCAACTGGATTAAACAGTGGGTAATTACGAATTTTAATAATTGAGTGCTATATTAAAATACATGCGAGTAGGTAAATGTTCGTTTTCTTTTTTAACCGTTTAGATATTTAGATGTTTCTACATCGATGACTTGCAAATATAATTCTGTCATGGTCTGGAGCGCATTCTGAATCTTTCATTATTCCTCCATGGCGTCGAATTAGCATTTTCTACACTGCATGCTGTAGGATGTCATGTAGCAATTACAGTTTCACTGTAGGTATTTACAAAAAAAACTTTACAATATTTGAAAGTGTCTTTTAAAGAGTGTACCTTCATTCAGGAAAAGAAATTTCTTCGTTACCTTTATTTACGTCAATCATTTCTTTGTGTAAAAGACCATCCTCAATTGGATACGACAATATTTTTATTGCCTTAACGATGGTTTTTCTTTTACCAAATGATTTTTGAATCCATCTCTAGAGATTTATTACTCGTTAAGATTATTTAAAAGCTCTCAATAAGAATTTGCATTATTTATGGAGTGCCTATGGTTTATAATACAATTCCATTGAATGCGATAAGAGTTTGTATTGCTTGGGTAATTAAATAATTGAATAGAATAGAACAATGACAAAACTAACACTTAAGCACGATTTCGTTTTCAAAAGCATAACGTTACTTTCCTTAAGTTAATTGCAAAAAGCGAATTTATAATGACTTCAACATACAAGCAAATTCTATATCACAGTCGATTATAATAATTCGTGTCTATTTAAAAACAATAAAATTTTGTTTATATAATTTTATTACAGTTGTAATTGAAGGCACTTGATATATCATAATCATTGTCTTCCTATTCTAATGGTTAACAAGAAGCCCGTTAAATTCTTTCAATCAACAAAAACCGAAGATATTTATCACTGAACGCGCCGCTGTTTTCCATCAACCTTGTTTATAAAATAACCACAACCGATTCTTCGGAACGCCTCTACTTACATCGGTCCCATTCTAGGGACGCCGCCCGGGCTTCGGGAATTCTAATCACACCAAGACAAAAAAAACTGAATAACCGCCACACTCGACCTGTCAACAGCCGAAGCCACCGTCCCAAGTCCCAAAAACCGACGGATTTCGTCACGAATAATTACAACGATGCCGCGCATCCAATCGCTGGTTCGAGACTGAACGCGCGTTTCTTCGGTTCCTCGGTGCCGGTGCTTGGGTTCTGTTAACCGGGCCTCGAGAGCCCAAGAAGAACGGTACGAGGAAACTGCACCGACGAGGAAGGATCGCGTGAAGTTGGTTCTTTGTGCGGTAATTTGGAATGATTCGAAAATGTTTGCATACAATGGATAAATCGTAATGGAAAGGAGAAGGTTACAAATCGGTTCCTTGTGGTAGCGAATGAGTACAAGGTTTGTTGGAGAGTAAGGAGTGCAATTGATTCGCTCCCAACAATTGAGTCCGTTCGAGAAGTCTATTCACCTGTTGTTTATCGGCTGTTAGCAGACACCGGACAGGTGCAAAAGCGGGAACCCCTCTTTTCGAATATTAATTTCAAAAAGGATCAGAACAGACCTTCAAAAACCTCTCGTACAACCGTACTTACGAATATCCCCTGTCCGATCAACTCGGGGGAAATGTACTTCCTCCTGTAGCCCAATCCCACCCGCTTCTTGGGCACCTTCTCCAGGAAGCGCTCGTGGGCCCCGATGCAACTGTAATCCTCCAAGTGGGTCATCGTCTCCTTCTTCAGCTTCAAAGCGGCGAACATGTGCACCGGCTTGAACACGGTGACGCCCTCGTCCTCGACCAGGATGTAGGGCACCCTGCCGGACAGGACGTCCCTGGTCGCTTCGGCGGGCACCACGATTTTGTAACTGCAGGTACAATTTTTTTTAGCGGACAATCGTTCGATGCGCTCGAAAAATGCTTAGTGGAAATATTCGTTGAATGCGATTAAAATAGTCGTATATACGACTTATCTTTTTAGTAGAAAATGGCTGTAGTCCAATTTTTGATTGATTTATTTATATTTATACCGTTCGAACGGTCATTGTAAAGTGATCGTTATTGTTTTAATGACTCGCTTCAATCGTAAAATGTTTCAAAATTGTTACAAAATACAATTATCTCGCGAACAATTTAAAACATTTAAATACACAAAAAATTGACTAGATAAAATGAATCAATCACCTTGCTATGAGCATGGGCAAACTTTTAAACTCCTCGTCCTCTTCCCTGCTGGTGGTGGGTTGTGGGGAAGCAGTTCGAGCAGTGGCGGGTTGAGGCGGGGGAGACGGGGCCGGTCTCCCCATCGGAATCTGGGCTTCCTGCATCACGGTTTTTTCATCTCTATGCTGGTGCGGGGTGTACAGCATAGACCGCGGATGCGTGGGGGGGTAAATTCGGCGCTCCGTTTTGGAAAATTACTCGACTGCGGAAATTAATTTCGAATCGGTAAAAACTAGGTAAAAGAATTTAGGGGACGAAAGAGGGGGCACACTATGTACAGGAACAGAAATAACTCACATCGAAAATAAATCTTCAAACCTGTCGACGCGCGGCTACACCGAAGAATGACAATTAAGGACAAGAATAGTCGGGATATCTGGTCCGGTTCGGGCGTCTATTTTTATGTGCAAGTTAATTTTAATCGAATGCTGCCAGCTCTAGGACTTAATTATTGTTTGCTGGGAAAACATCCACGCGGGTGACTTCCTGGAGATGCACGAAAATAAGACGTTAACGAGCTTATAGAAATTCGTAAAAAAATATTATCTTTCGACTTGTTTTCCTATTTCGAATCCGACGATATGGAATACGGTTATTTTCAAATTTATTCACGTGGAATGTTTCTGTTGTAATCACCCATGAATTATTTAATAAGTATAAAGCATGTATCTTCATATAAATTGATTTGCCGATGTTCAACAATAATACTGTTTTGAATTCTAATTAAATACACTTCATTATTAGTACATACATTTCACCTGCTCCTCTTTATGCTCTTTTATATGGTAATGATTTATTTCTTTAAGACAAATAACAATTTCTATTACTAGAATATGCATTAATAGTCAATTTATTACACATATTAGATACAAGTACACTATAAACAATAAAATAAATATTATTGTTTACTACTGTCAGAGGTAGAATAATATTTAAATTAATAATCTATTATATAGATTGGTATGTGTAGAAAGTAAAAAAATCCACCCTCTGAAAGAAATACCAAACGCCTACAGTGTAATAGCAAACTACATATGAAAACTAAAGTAAAAAAAACGTGATTCATGCGGACTCACCTATCTACGTTGATTCCAAAAATATGTTTCGGTGTGGGAAGTAAAAATATTTTTATTTTTATGTAGTCCATGCTGTATGGTGTAATTGGTGAGAAATGTTTTGCACGCAAATGTATATATCACAGGAAGCACACAACACAAATTATATCAAAAAAAAATTCTATGTACAAAGGTCTTTACATGGCGGTTTTCATGCATTTTTACGACTATTCATAAATCTGTTAAGTCTCCTTACGTTGGACTTGGCCCGATGGAGATACGCCGGGGATTCGGAGCTTTCCGGAGCGGCGCTCAAGTAATCGTCGATTCGTTTTTCCCGGTTTTTGTTCACGTGTATGGCCGACATCATGTGCATGGGCTTAAAGTTCGTTATCCCCGTGTCGTCTATTAGAACGTACGGGACCCTTCCGGCCAGTACGCCCCTGGAGGCGTCTTTGGGGATGACCGCCTGCAGGGATCCCCTGGAGACTAAAACGGGGAATTCCAGATGGGATTTCTTCACCAAAAAATCTTCTATAGCTAGCAGGTTTTGTTTTTTCATCAGCTGCAGAGGAATGCTTCTCGATGTTACTAGAACTGATGAAGGATTAGAGATCAGCACGGCGCTTTCTCTTATCAATTGCCGGATCCTGGGATCGGATTTCGCTACTTCGGGGTTCTTTTTAATCCTGGTAATCGCGGTTTTTAGTGAATAATCCCGTTCGGATAATTGTTTCATTAAGGTCATCCTTTTGAGCATGTCTATGCTCTCTTCCAGCAAACATTCCTGCGAGGAATTGCCCAAATCTTCGACTACATCGTCCAAACCCAAAGCTTTGGCGAAGCTCAAAGCTTCTTCTATTAGCTCTTTGTAGCAAAAGCCGTTAGTGCATTTCTCCAGGTTCAAATCCATGGAGGTTTTGGTAGCATTCACGATGGATTTTTGTAAAACTTTCACTGCATCTTCTTCCGACGCGACGTCTTGCAGATTGTCATCTATATTTTCGATTAACTCGTGTACTACCAGCGGATTTACTTTTAGTATTTTGGCAAAAGCGATGCTCATAATGTTTTCGTTGCCTAAGATTTTCTCTATGCTTTCTATTAAGTCCGAGACGGACATTTGCTTGTCCACAATCATCCCCAAAGTGCATATTTTCGTATCTTCTATTACTCTAGTCAGTTGTTTCAAAGCTACCTCGCATATTTCGTCCCTGTCGAATTGGGTTTTCATCAGGTTGATAAACTCTATAGTCAATTTGATGTTTTTGTTCAAAGGCTCCGCGATGATTTCCCCGATGGTCTTGAGCGCCAGCAATTGATCTTTCGGTCTATTTTTGAACACGTCGTTCGCGGCCACTAACGCGGTTTTGAACAGAATTTTCAGTTTGTTCGAGCCCGCGTGTAATTTTATTTCCGCGTCCGTGGCGTTCGCGCTCAAATACGACAAGTCTATGTTATCCGCGCGGACGCTATTTTTGTCTCTGAAAGTCGACGATCTTCTAGTCATTGTTAGCAGTATATCCGCTAGTTTATTAATAGTCTCCTCGTCGTCGGATATTCGCCGGGCGATTTCCACGGCGTCTTTGTCGCTGACGTAGGTCACCATGTTGTTTTGGTTGTCCATGTGCTGCTGCCGCAGGTCCTCCAGTTTCTTCTTCAGCTGGGCTTTCTTGTCTTCGAGTGTGGCGATCAGATCGTCCATGTTGTCGAACATTTGCTGCTTGAGTTTCTCCATTTCGAGCCGGTGTTGCTCCTGCTTCAGGCGGATGTCTTCCATGTCCAGTTCCTCCAATTCGGAGCTGTTCAGCTCCACGCTGGAGGCTCTGGATTTTTCTTCGGAGTCCGAGGATAAGTCGGATGGTTCTTCGATGACGATGATTTCTAGAGGTGGTTCTATTTCAATTTCGGGTTGTTTCTTCTTTCTTTTGAGTTTCCTCTCGCTTTCTGGTTGAGGGGGCGGTCGTTCTTCGGCGGTTGTGGCGAAAGTAAGTTGACCGTCCGATGTGATTGCTGCTTGTGATGGTAGGAACATGGGTTCTCTTTCGTCTTCTCCCATAATTAACCCGCCGATGAGCGTTGGTTTGTTACCGACGTTTGTTGTTATACCTGGAACATATTCATCTCCGTATTCATTTTGCAGCGTTTGTCCCGGAATGAAAACTTCCCCTTCTTCTGTTAGAACCATCTGGCCGCTTACGAAGCATTCTTTGCCGGAGGGCAGGGTTACTGTTACGCCGCTTACCCTGCGCCTGTTTTGGGTGTCTTCGCCGGAGGGGTCTTCGATTTCGGTTAGACAAGCGTTGCCCATGTTTTTAATAACGTCCGGGATCTCGGTGATAGTGGGTAGCTGGTTGAGCATCTCCGGACCTCTGCTTAGGATGGTTTCGTTGACGTTTTTGGTGGATTCGAGATCGTCGATCTCCATTTCGATGGGAATTTCGGAGACTTCTTCGGAGATTTCTTCGATGACTTTCTTGGCGTCTTCCTCGAATTTGTTCCAGTTTAGGTTCTTCATGTTGCGCTTCATCATTTCTTTGTAGGCTTTGGAGTTTTCCCATTTTTGCTTCTTTCTGCGCTTCATGATTTTCTTGAGTTCTTGCTCCCACTTTTCGTCGCGCATTTCTCTTTCTTCGAATATTTTGGCCAGGCTCATCGTGTATTTGCCGTAGTGGTGTTGTTTTTCTTCGAGCGGAGTGGTGGCGCCTTCGCCGCAGCAGAGCCCGTCGAAGTCGCCTTCGAAATATTGGATTTCCACGGGGATTTTCTTCTTGTCTTTGAGTTTGATTAAAATTTTGTCGTTTTTCTGCGAGACTAGAACGTCGACGATGTCCCCGTCTCGTAT